GTTGAATGTCCTTTCACAGTGTTCTACTGGGAAATCACTAAAGGATTTTAGGCAGGGGTCAGATATAATCATGTCCGATTTTTGAAAGGTGATATGGTTTTGAAAGCTGACATATGAGTTGGATTAGAGAGAACAGAAGCTGGAAACATTTATGAATCAGTTCTAGTAGTCCTCATAGTGAATGGTGAGGGATAAAGAGGAAAGTACAGGATATAGTAGGGATTGAATTTATGTACCTTACTTTTACTCAGATTCCCACCAACTGGTTCATCTGGTCAAGTATTCATCATTTTCTTTATCAAGAAGTCTTCCTTAAAAGGGAGTTTAGATTTGTCCATAGTAGACAGGGTAAAGAATTGTGCCTTTGACACTGACCAAATATTGTCCTTTAAGTCTGTAACTTTCATTTTTATTATAGAAGTAGTTTATATGAATAAATGTACATCAGTTTAAACAGAAAAGGAGTTGCCCAGGAATGAATGCAGCAATCAGTATTTCTGTAGTTTCTTTAAAATACAATGCAAAGGAAAAGTGTTTAATTTTAGAACAAACAGGTTTACAGTTTCATGCAAAAGAAAATAATTACTTCACCTTTAGTTGCATTTGGATGCTTTAGTCTTATTTTGAACCCTTATAAAAATCTCATTTGAGAAGTGAAAAAAGTACTCAGACTAGTTCAAGCACTGTTCTTTTATTGAGTGTCTGAAAAAGTTGAGTGACTACCCCATTATTTATACTTATACGTTTCAACTCCTTAGATGCAATTGACACTTGATGTTGGTAAAGAACAGTTCTTAGCAGCTTTTGGAAGCTGTTAGAGTAGCCTCTTAAAAGAAGAAAAATTTCATTACATTCAAAACAGATATGACAGCAAATTTGGTTTTGGAACATAAACTCCAGGTTTCTTAACTGCTTGAATTTTCTTAAATTCATCCTTTTTACATTTCTGTTCTTTAGGTCTGGCAAAATGTCTGAAAGATCAGATCTCCTTCACTTCAAGTTTGAAAATTATGGAGATTCAATGTTACAAAAAATGAACAAATTAAGAGAAGAGAATAAATTTTGTGATGTTACAGTTCTCATAGATGATATTGAGGTACAGGGACATAAAATTGTGTTTGCTGCAGGTTCCCCCTTCTTAAGAGACCAGTTTTTGCTGAATGATTCCAGAGAGGTGAAAATCTCCATATTACAGAGTTCTGAAGTGGGGAGACAATTGCTCTTATCCTGTTATAGTGGTGTGCTGGAATTCCCTGAGATGGAACTGGTAAATTATTTGACTGCTGCGAGTTTTCTTCAGATGAGCCACATTGTAGAACGGTGCACGCAGGCCCTGTGGAAGTTTATAAAGCCAAAACAACCAATGGATAGTAAAGAGGGATGTGAACCACAGAGTGCTTCTCCCCAGTCAAAAGAACAGCAAGGAGATGCCAGAGGCTCTCCAAAGCAGGACTCACCTTGTATTCATCCATCTGAAGACAGTATGGATATGGAGGACAGTGATATTCAGATTGTTAAGGTAGAATCTATTGGGGATGTATCAGAGGTTAGAAGTAAAAAAGATCAGAACCAGTTTATTTCTTCTGAACCCACTGCTTTACATTCATCAGAGCCCCAGCACTCCCTAATAAATTCAACTGTGGAAAACAGAGTAAGTGAAATAGAACAAAACCATCTCCACAATTATGCCCTCTCTTATACAGGCAGTGATAATATCATCATGACCTCAAAAGATGTCTTTGGGCCTAATATTCGAGGTGTAGACAAAGGCTTACAGTGGCATCATCAATGCCCAAAGTGTACCAGGGTGTTTCGTCACCTGGAGAACTACGCCAACCATTTAAAAATGCACAAACTCTTTATGTGTCTACTCTGCGGCAAGACGTTTACTCAGAAAGGCAACCTTCATCGACACATGCGTGTGCATGCCGGAATTAAACCTTTCCAGTGTAAAATCTGTGGGAAAACCTTTTCTCAGAAGTGTTCCTTACAGGATCATCTTAACCTTCACAGTGGAGATAAGCCCCATAAGTGTAACTATTGTGACATGGTTTTTGCACATAAGCCAGTTTTGAGGAAACACCTTAAACAGCTGCATGGCAAAAACAGTTTTGATAATGCCAATGAGAGAAATGTGCAAGACCTCACAGTGGATTTTGATTCTTTTGCATGTACAACAGTCACAGACTCTAAAGGGTGTCAGCCACAGACTGATGCAACACAGGTCCTGGATGCAGGTAAACTGGCCCAAGCTGTCCTGAACTTAAGGAGTGATAGTACTTGTGTGAATTAAGTATGGGCTTAATGCTCACAAATAGAACTGACTGAGAATGTAGCAACACTCTGAATCTTTTTAGGAGTGTTTTGCTAGTTTGCCTTTCCAACACCTCTGTGCAGGTGGTAGTGTCTGAGTTAAAGCAGTAATATACCAGGCAACTTACCACTTGGAGTGGTTTTCCCTTCCTTTTGTTTTCTTCCATTTTCTGTTTTGAGTTATTTTACCCTGTGATACCTATTTTACTTTCCCAAGGAGTAATTCCATTTGTCTACCTAAATGTTAATTTATGTCTTAGACTGACACTTTTTTTAGGCTTTTTATCAGGCACATTCTGAAGGTACCAACAAATTAATAATATCACCTACTTTCTACTAATAGGTGCTACACTAAGAGAAGTGAATAATATATTTTTTTTTGGCAAAAAATAGTCTGAGACATAAGGTGATACTGCTGTTGACCTAAGTATGTGATAGAACTCTCTGGTTGCCTAGTGATAATTAATCCATGTCTGATAAATGAATGAATATGCTTCCTACCATTTGTACGTATCTTGGAGCTGGCTATAAAGAAGTATGTTTGTTTGCTTTGTACTTTTCAGCACTGTCATAGCCCAACTTCATCTCACTGAAATGCTCTCACAGATCAGAGTACTATCTTTTCAGCCACACCTGCAGAGTTAGGGATCATCGTGAGGAGTGTAATCAGCAAAGGATAGAAGTACAATTATACAAGAGCACTTACATGGATTTCCCAGTACCACATCCCAATGAGAGACCAGAAGCTTATAATGCCACTCTACTGATGGTTCTGTAATCAGGATTGCTTTTAGGCACACTTAAAATGTGGTAAAGAATAATGGTCTCTAGAAATGGGCTATTTGGGTGTCTCTGAACTTATGAGAGTTTTGTCATCAGGTGAGTTTGGCCGTCAGAGTTCTGTCCATTACACTGTGTTTGAATTTTCCTTTCCTTATATACCTTAAGGTCTAAGATAGATTTTTTTAAAAGTAGGACACAGAGAAGTAATCAGATTTTTTGCATTCAAATACTCCTCTTAAAGTTACACTGTTTCACCTTGCCACCTTTGAGAGATTGATCTTCCAGAATGAAAAAACAAAAAAACAAAATGAGTGGTTTTTCCTAAAGCATATTTCAGTCATAAAATTTTGAGTCTTGTTTCTGACCAATGAGTTAAGATTTAGGTAATAGGAGTGTTAGAGAACTTAGAGAATCGTAAGAGATATTTACTGCATCTCTTTTATTTTAACTTGGGGCCTCCAAAGCCCAAAGAAGTGAGCTGGCTAGAACTGGCCAAAGTAGGTAAGTGACTAAATATGAACAAATGTCCCCTTTCTTCACAGTTAAAAACATTCGATACATGATAAAGAGTAATGCATTAGCAAACAGCTACCAATTTATGTTTTTGTATTTTCCTGTTGGGTTTTTGTGACAGCCTATATTTGGCCATCAAAATATCAGTGGGAATTATTTATATTAATTATTTTTAAATTAAAAAAAATTTTGCAGTGCTGGGGATCGAACTCAGGGCTTCATGTGTATGAAACAAGTACTCTTCCATTGAGCTACATCCTTAGCCACTGTTAATTATTTTTTAGTTAGATGAGTATTACATTTTCCTCAAGCAAAGGACTGGTCTGCTGAGTGTTGATAAAGAAGGAAAGGGGCAATTAAGAATAATGTGTAAGAATCCAAATGTGAAATTGATTTTGTCTGGGAAGCTTTTTTTTCATTTTCATCAGGATTTTGTTTTTATTTTTGAGCTATGAGTTTCCAAATATAGATGATCCAAAAAGTAAACTTAATTTATACAGTCAGGGAATTCATAATTTGTTATAATTTTATATCTTTACATATGGTGAGATTTGATGTATAATTTCTCCTCTGTTCAAATATGTAAAATAAGACAGTTGAGTGATAAAAGTAATAGGTACCTTTTGCCCAGCATCATTCATTGTATTGGCCTAATGATGCTTTCTAGCATTTTTCATGACCCAGCCAAAGAGTATCAGGTCTATGTAACAGTGATACTCTACCATGTCAAGCAGTGTTTTATTTTCTCTGAACCTCATTTCTTCACAGGAAGATTTTAAGTTGGAGTGCTTCATTTGCTCACATTCATGTCCTGTTTTTGTTACTTGTTTCAAGACTAAAAGGTATGGGTTCAAATAAGATTGGTCCCTTTGGCTGGAGACTATTTCTGGGTTCATTTCAATCATTCAAGAAACTTTTTTATCTTTTTTTTTTTCTCAATGTTCGGGATTGAACTCAGGGTCTCATGCATGCTAAGCATGTGCTCTTCCACTGAGCTATATCCCTAGCCTCAAGAAATATTTATTAAGCACCTGTTTGCAGACAGTATGTAAAATACCAAGCATATGAAGGTAAGACTGATACAGTCCCTCCCCTTTTGGAGCTTAGTCTTACATGGTCTTTATGAAACAATTTGATTTTATACAAATAATAATTATACTGCCTTGTTTTCTTTGATCACTTAAAATCAGCAGTTTTTATGGTTTTCTATTAATAAAACTTTTGATTCTCACTTTTTGCCAGTGCAAACCACCGAAGTAATTTGTAGTCCTCCTCCATTTCTTGGCTGGAGAGGTCTTCCGTTTCTGTGAGACATTTTCTAATTTTGGTGGGACTTGCCTTTCCTCCATGGTTTATATTGCAAAGAAATCAAGTTTCTGATTTCAAGTATGTTTTATAGGGGAAGATGACTTTCAAACACTCATGTTTATATAGAGAATGGGTTTTAAAACCTTAAGTCATTCAGGATTTGTTTTTATGGATTCCCAGGATAACTAAAAAAGATGGAGGGCTCTCTCTTACCATAGTTTCCTTTTTAACAAATTATTGTGTCTGTTATTTATTTATTTAATTTTAAAACAAATTCCAAATTGAAGTGGCTGAGGTAAATGAGATGTGGTTTTGTGTTTATTAGAAAATTTGTAAATGGGAAGTGACTGGTGTCACCACTTCTAAACAAACAACCCAGAAAATTTTATTTCAGCTTGTGGATAGCTGTTCTATATCTGTTGTATGTTAGACATACTATGAACTACCTCTTCACTTATGGGGACGTTTCCTTAATAAAAGTGTGACAATTAAAACTGATTGACGTCAGTTTATTTTCTTCCTCTCTTGTCCTGCTTTCTTTGTCAATTGTGTGAATTTGAATCCAGAATGCTTTTATTCTTTAAAATATGTATTCGTCAAGAATGAAGCTGGGGATGTAGTGGTACAGTGTTTAATAGGAGGGAGGCCCTGGGTTCCACTCAGCACGGGGGAGGGATGGACAGGCTGGGGTGGATGGAGTGGTAAACCTTAGTGCAAAGGCTGAGTAAGATCCAGATCGGGTGCCAGCTACGCGATCCCCAACACAGAGACCTTGTAACCAGTTTCTCTTTTCCTCAGCCACTTTACACGTTGTAGATAGCTCCAATAAATTGAAGGCGCGACCCATAAAAGTCCGTCCGGGCCCTCTAACACACGTGCCTTAACCCAACTTCACACCCAGTCTCCAATTCGGATGTTTGGGAGGACTCACGAACGGGAACGGCTAGCTCTTCAAAACTGGGACAGAAGAGATGGAGCTAGGAGGTATGCGTGCGTATTTTGTCATTCCAGGAATGAAGATGAAAACGCGCCTCGGAATGTCCTTCCGGGTCACCCAGCCGTCTCTCCCCTCCCCCTCCCAAATAAGTAATAAAGCTGGTTGAGCCGGATGTGCTTCCTCCCAGGCTAAATCCACCTTCCGGCCTGGGCCGCCGCTGCCGCGAAAACCTCAACCGGTTTTCTGAATTGGTAAGTGAGCGCGGAGAAGATTCGCCTGGCGGCGAGGCTTGGGGAAAGAGAGAAACGGAGGGAGGACAGCGGTGCGTGATCCCCTCGGCCCTGGGAGGCTAAGCAAGGGAAGGACCGAGTGCAGCTCGGGATGGAGCCTCCAGGCCACGGGGGATCCAGCTTTAGTTCAGCACTTGTTTCTGTGCTCCTCCGGCTGCGTGTAGGCCCCCGTGCTCACTGAAGGAATATGGGTGAATCTGATGCTTTGGGAGTTGCTGATTATATGTGGGAGGAGGAATCACTGTAGTTTTGCTTGACTTGGGTTTAAAGGCTCCAAATCACCAGCGGGAAAAAAGGAACTGGAAACGCGAAGATGATGTGCAAAGTATATTCGGGTGTTTCTGTTTTGACAATGATGAAAAGCTAAGGCGCTTGGAATATGAAAATACAATGGCGAGAGATAGCTTTAAAGGTGGGTTTGGGCCAAATCGTGAAGCATCTTACATTCCTTTTAAGAACAAAAGGCTGCCCTGGAGGTTGGAAGAGAGTGATGGAGGACTTAAGCCACAGGGGAGTTTTTTTTTTGTTTTGTTTTTGTTTTTTTAAAGAAAACTTTAATGATGTTAATTCTGGTGGAACTCAGAAGGTAGTTCGGAATATAGGAGAGTGTTATGTGGAGGAGACCTGTTGGAAGACATCACAGTGGTCCAGGTGAACAGGACTGAGGATCTGTAAGAGTGGTGAGTTGTAGGTATTTTGGAGGTTACGTTAAAATTTCTAATTTGGGATGCTATATTATGTACTTGTTGATGATCACTGTTTACGGGATATTCAAAATTAAGTGTTCTTCCCAATTCAGGTTTGGTTTTTCTGTGAAGGAGGGGGAGGTTGTTTTTTATCATCACAGCATGGGAAAGCATTCCTTCTCTTTACAACATCATTTGTGCTTTATTTTGCTTAGATTATGACCATGGCTGCTGAGTCTGATGTTCTGCACTTCCAGTTTGAACAACAAGGAGATGTGGTCTTGCAGAAAATGAATCTCTTGAGACAGCAGAATTTATTTTGTGATGTATCAATTTATATTAATGACACTGAATTCCAGGGGCACAAGGTGATTTTAGCTGCTTGCTCTACTTTCATGAGAGATCAGTTTTTACTCACACAGTCAAAACATGTCAGAATCACTATTTTGCAGAGTGCAGAAGTTGGCAGGAAATTGTTGCTCTCTTGCTATACTGGAGCACTTGAAGTTAAAAGGAAAGAGCTTTTGAAATATTTGACTGCTGCTAGTTATCTTCAGATGGTTCACATTGTTGAAAAGTGCACAGAAGCTTTGTCAAAATATCTGGAAATTGATCTTTCTATGAAAAATAACAATCAACACACTGACCTGTGTCAATCTTCTGATCCCGATGTTAAGAATGAAGAAGAAAATTCTGATAAAGACTGTGAAATAATTGAAATTTCAGAAGACAGTCCTGTGAACATTGATTTCCATGTTAAAGAAGAGGAAAACAATGCATTACAGTCAACAGCAGAGAGCATGACATCGGAGAGAAAGGAATTGAAGTCACCAGAGCTCTCTACAGAAGATACAGGTTTTAAAGAGAATGACATTTGTATCCTCCATGTTGAATCTATCAGTACAGCTGGTGTAGAAAATGGGCAGTTTTCACCACCTTGTACCTCATCAAAAGCAGGCATGTATTTCTCTGAAACGCAGCATTCACTGATCAATTCTACAGTTGAGAGCAGAGTGGCAGAAGTTTCTGGGATTGAAGGTCAGGGTTTATTTTGTGAGAATACTGATGGAAGTCATGGTACAGTGAATGAGATTCAGAATCTGGATGAGAGTTACTCACTGAGGCACCAGTGTCCCAGGTGTCCTCGGGGCTTTCTTCATGTTGAAAACTATCTGCGCCACCTTAAGATGCATAAGCTGTTCTTATGTTTACAGTGTGGGAAAACATTTACACAAAAAAAAAATCTCAACCGGCACATTCGAGGGCATATGGGTATACGGCCATTTCAGTGTACTGTGTGCTTAAAGACTTTTACTGCTAAAAGCACGCTTCAGGACCACTTGAACATACATAGTGGGGATCGTCCATACAAATGCCACTGTTGTGATATGGATTTCAAACACAAATCTGCCCTCAAAAAGCACTTAACCTCTGTTCATGGCAGAAGCAGTGGTGAAAAACTATCTAGGCCTGATCTCAAAAGGCAAAATCTACTATAATTGAAATCATGGACTTGCTATTAAAACTTATCCTCTTAGGCAAGTCTTTTTATAGAATTGCAGCATTTGTAATACTGTACCTCCCCTCTCCATCTTTAGGTTTTATGTTTGGTCTACCTACACATATTAATCTTTCTGAATTTCTAATAGTTCCAAAGTTGCAGGAGGCATAATAAAGATGATGGGATTCTGTCTCATCTCATAGATTATATATAAAGTCTCCGAGGTATACTTACAGTAATAGTGTCCTACTCCTAAATATTCTTGGTTCTAGTACCAGAGGATCCAGTATTTACAGATTCTGATTTGTAGTCTAGATAATTGATTTAAGTGTTAAACCCAACAATATAATGGCAGGATGAGAAAGGAATGGCAGGAAGAGAAAATTTAGTTTAAAACACTATTACCCATTCCTGGTCACTTTAAGAACAGACAGAATGAGCAATTTTTCTTTTAATTTAACCAGTGCTCTTGGATTAGAAATGAACACCAAAGTACTTGCAGTTTTAAACTGTAAAGGAACACAATTCAGGTCCACTTGAGAACAGCAGAACTTCTTTATAATGTGTTGTTATTCCTTTAAATATTTTCATTTCTTTTGGTTATCAATATTCATATCTTAGAATAACTAGGCTTCTTAATTATAGGTGGATTAATAATTTTGTGGTCAGTTAAAATATACCATTAGCATAGGCTATGAAAAATTGCTTCTCTTAGAAATTCCAAATTTAGCCAGGTGCAGCAACTCAATGCCTGTAACCCCAGATACTTGGGAGGTAGAGATAGGGAGGATTGTGGTTCCAGGCCAGCCTGGTCAAAAAGTTAGTGAAACCACATCTATATCCCAGCTATGTGAGAGGCATAAGTAGGAGAATGGCAGTCCAGGCCAGTCCAGGGTGGGAAAATGCAAGACCCTATTTGAAAAATAAAAAAGAAGGGCTGGAATATGGCTCAAGTGCTGGAGTGTCTTCCTAGCAAGAACAAGGCCCTAAATTCAAACCCTACTATTGCTCAGAAAGATAAGAGTTTTATCAAAGTCATTTTGTACTATTTCTTCCTTTTTTTACTTTTTTTGGTTAATGTAGTAAAACTGAACTTTCTTTTGGGGTGCAGGTCTATGAATTTTAACACATTTTATACGCTACCACTGTAATTAGGAAACAAACTTGTATCATTCCCTCAAAACACCCTCATGCTGCCTCTTTGTAGTCAACCCCTCCTACCTCTAAACCCTAATAATAGTTGTTCACTATGATTTTGCCTTTTCTGGAATGTCATATACATGGAATTTTATAATATGTTCCATTTTGATTTTTTTTCACTCAACAGCCTTTGAGTTCTGTTCATTCATGTATATGTCAGTAATTCATTCCTTTTTTATTTCGAGACAAGTCTCACTACATAACCCAGCCTGGCCTCAAACTCAAGATACTGCCTCAGCTTCCTGAGTGGTAGACTTAGAGGCATGCATCACTATTTCCAACCCCTTTTTCATTTTGAACTACCAATATATATTAGTTGTCATTACCAAACCAACAATTTAAATGTTGGTAGCTACTAGTATTAGCTATTAATAATTTTTCATTTATATTTTTATAATTTTTATTCAATATCAACAAAAATATTAACCATCCCTAGAATTTCATTTTATATTTCCAGAAAAATGCCAAAAGCAAAATTGTGACTATGCTTATTTCAGTGAGAGTAGTGTTTCAGATTGTGTTCTGAGCGACAGCTAATACCCCTGTGTACATATAATAGAAAACTTTGTTGTTGCAGTTGTTATAACAAAGATGAAAATAAGGTATTTTAGGGCAAATCATCTCTACACACAGGAATTGCTTTCAGTAGAGAAGCCTGGATTGGATGTATCACTGTCAAGCTTTTTATTCCTCCTCTACTTACCTCAACTTTATGTTGAATTTTTACTGTATTTAATGTCTTACTGACACCCTTCCATATTTCAAAACATAGTATGCTTTGTACCATATAAGAATTTTGTGAAAAACTATTATTATAAATGTTAAATCTCATTTTTGTGAGACTTTTTATGGCAAATATATTCTCCACATTCTCTGGGAAAAACTTAAGAACCCAGGTCTCATATTTGATGAGGAAACTGACTTCATAACCCAGGTCATTTATTAATGACAGTAGGTAGACCCCCCTGTCCTTAAGCTTTTCTTACTTTCATGTGTATATATAATAACTTTGATCCTGATAATTTGTCAGATCATTTCCAGGTCTAGAATTCTGATTTTATGTTTAATTCTTCCTGAGAACAGAGAAGAGGGCAAAGTAAGAGAAGAATTCTGTGTTTTCAAGAAAGTTGCTGTATAAATACACTTCTGGACACGGTTTTTTCTAATTTTTTTTTCCATTGGATAATACAGTTGTTTAGTGCTTCATTTTCTTGAGTGGCCATTGATAGTTGTGCAAATATTTCTATTTCAGAAATAGTTTGTGATTGAAGTACTCTTTATTTTTGCTTCCTAGGATGAAATTTTTGAGGGAGGGGCTGTAGATGGGAGGAGGAGAGTAAAAAACCTGATTTTCTAGGGATTGTTATCTTCTATCATGAGTATTTGAAAAAGTTTGTTTAAAAGTATGTTTAACTTTTATGTGTGCCTTGTAAGATTGTTGTAAGAATTTTTTGTGAGCACTTTGATATTTTTGCTTGGGACGCGGGTGTTTGTAAAGGTGATGTTGTTATTTATATTATTTATTACTATTAAGTAGTACAGAGTAATCTCTATAAACATTCCTAGGAGAGTATCTGTTTGCATGACATGTCTGAAAATTTTCAGGAAAATGGAATCTTTAAATATGCAGGTATGGCAAAATAAAGTGTAGAATATGTTCATTTAAAATAATCACTTTTAGTTGTTTGTGTTTCTTTTATGATAGAAAAATGCAATATATTTGAGTTCTGCCTCTTTATTTACTGTTTATATACGTGTGTGTATATATACATATATATGTATATAATGATTTTGGAAAGATAGTTGTTCCTTTGTTGTAAGACAAGAATCCTTGTCTCTTCTCCTTGGTTGTAATTATTTTACATGTTTACATAAGAAGTAATAAATAATGTGGGAATGGAGAATTTTGGATTTGCCTACAACTGTGAATTTTAAAGAAGGACACAATTTCTCTTGGCTATTTAATCATTTCTAAAAATATGTACTGAGTCTTTACTATATATACCTGTACTAGGAGTTAGATATACAAAGAAAGATTCCTGCTGTTAAGAAATATATTCTAGTGAAGGGAGATAAGTAGTTAAGAAAAGTAAAATTAATATATGTCGGATTTTGAAATCAGATTTGGTGAAAAATAAAGCAGGGATAAAGAGTGCTAAGGAAGGGTGTAGTATTGTAACTTCATGTGGTCATTCCCCTTTTGGAAAATTTTTATATATATTCCATTGACTTGTGGAATGGGGAAACATATGTATATATATCTGTAATAGAATTGGAAAATACATATATGTGGTAGGTTGGAAAGTTTATGTATATGTAAAATCACCCCCTCATTGTCCAGTTGAAAATATAAACCATTGATTGTCCGGAACATTTCGTTTGGATTGACATAAAAGAATGGAAAGGAGATTAGTGCATGGAAAAAAAGTTTGATGGGGCCAATGAATCTTTTCCTTGAAACACGATGATATTTTCATGTTACATAGGAAGTAGTAACCATTATTTTTTGTTAGGTTTTGCTATGCAGCTCAGGCTGTCCTCCAACTTATGATCCTCCTGCCTCAGTTTTCAGATTTCTGGGATTTCCAGACATGTGCCACCAGCTTATAACCATAGATATATATGTATATATAGTGTTTGAGGGGTTTTTTTTTTTTGTGATGGGTTTTTTTGAGATAGTGTGTTGCAAAGTATTTTCCCCGTGTGGCTTGGAACCATAATTCTCCTGATCTCTGCCTCCTGAGTAGCAAGGATTACACAATGAGCCACGGGTGCCCCGCTTTTTTGAGTTTTTGTTTTTGTTTTTTGAGATAGGGTCTACTGTGTAGCCCAGGATGGTTTGAACTCATGATCCTCCTGCATCAGGCTCCCAAGTGCTGGCATTACAGGTGTGCACCATGTCTATAACCGTTTATTTTATTTATATTTTTGTGGTACGGGGTTTGAACTCAGGGCTTACACCTTGAGCCACTTCACCATTCCTTTTTTGTGTTGGGTCTTTTCCGAGATAGGGTTGCTGAACTATTTTGCCCTGGCTGGCTTTGAACCATGATCCTCCTGATCTCTGCCTCCTGAGTAGCTAGGATTACAGACATGCACCACTACAGCCGGGCAAACCGTATATTTTAAAATCTCGTTATATAAGCTATTTTTTCCATATCTTAGTTTGTGTTCTACTTCCTTAACGCTTTTGCTTGGACAACCGGTTTCATTACAACTCATGGCCATTTTCTTAAAATGTTCTCCTCAGGAACAAAGGGTACACGAGCATCCACTTTTTAGAATTACTTTGGTAAGAAATGAAATTAAATAAAACTAAAATATTTTAAAATATCACCTAACACAGGGCCTGTCACAAAGTAGTTCATAAATGTTAATTCCTTTAATTCCCAGCCTATTTCTTCATTTGTAAAAACAGAAGGAATAATTCCTATCTTACTGTTTGCTGTGAAAAATCCTTCAACAAATATTTATTGAGATATAATGCCAAAATTTGTGCTTAAATTTTTATCCTTACCAGTTTTGGGGGAGGTCAGAGTTTTAAAGAAGATTTAGGTAGGTGGGTCTGTCTAAATAACGCTTTCCTGTTGGTGTTTCAGTTTTTGTTACTGGTAATCTGGTAAACATTTCATTACAGGAGAGTGAAGTAGTATGTAACACAGATATGTCAGACTCTGCTCAATGGATAATAGGATGTTCACGATGGCAAAATCAGTGTCTAAGCAGATTGGCTCAAAGCGTAGAAGAACGTGCAGGGAGTTTCCCATCAATCCCTCCGACTTGCCTTAGTCTTCACAGCATCTTCCCACAGTACCCCGGGGCTCCTTCGTCACGTGATGGGGGTGGCTTAGCTCGATGAGAAGGAAGCTAATGCGCAGTTTCGGTAGCAGGGGCTACTCTGCTTCTCCCAACTCCCGGGCTTGCGTAGTCTCGCGTGAAGTGGAGAGTATCTTCTCGCGAGAGCTAAGTCAGGATCCCTCCAGGTCCGCCTCCGTGGTGAGGAGGAGGAGAACGAGGGGGAGGCGGAGGGAGGAGGAGGAGGCCCCGTCGCGGCCTTCGCCGCCGCCAACGGGGCTGTCCCTGTAGCTCCCGATGGAGTTTGAGGCTGTGAAACCGCCGCCGAGCTCTGCCCCGGCGAGACGAGGCGCCTCCGTCGCCAAGCCGCGCCGTCGCGGGGCTCCCGGGAGCGGCCCTTAGCGACCCCGCCCGGGCCCCCTCAGGTAGGGCGGGGGCGGGCACGATGCGGCTCGGGCCCGAGCCCGGGTGCTGGGTCTCCAGCGGTCGAGCGGAAGACCCGACTTAGCCCGCGGGGATCGGGCCTGTGCACTGTCTTCGCCGGTGCTCCGAGGGTTGGGGACTGAGGGCGCACCTGACACGGACGGAACCCCGCGCCCGAGAAGGCCCCTCTTTCTGGTAGGGCTTTTTCGATGCGAAGCTCGAAAGGCTCAAATGGCCACCTTCCTTCCACACTGGCTCAGAGGACGCCTCTGACCACTAAGGAACCCTTCTTAGCAAAGCCCAGTCTTCCTTCTGTCGTTCCTACTCCAGTTAGTACGAGGAGCTGTGGAAGAGGTCCTGGGAATGAGGTCCTGTCTTGGCTTTTCCTCTTTCTGCCTAGGAATTCCCGAGACCCTGGCGCAGGGATGGTGGAAGCGATCTGAGTGGTGTAAATAGGGACCCTAACCAAACAATGCCTTGGGAGGGCTTAACCTCCCAGGAGGGAGATAGAGCCAGACCAGAGTGGTTGCACCGGGGATGTGACTAGGAGCAGTCGCATGAAACACAGCCAGGGAATTCTGCCATGGCTTTCTTCTTCCCCTCTTTCATCCCCCCCCCCCCCCCGCCTTGGGGGAAGCCTCTTGAGGAGACTCTTCCACCATCTTAGAAGAATGGTAGAAAGCATCATTGTTTCTCAGAGAAACAGCTGTACTTTTCTCTGGCCTTAGCTTTTAGGAAGGGAGGAGATGAGGGTAGCTGTCATTTCCATCCTTCAAGTCACTAGAGTTTAAGATACTGGCATAGTCACACCAACATTGTCTCAAGTAAATCTAATACAGTGATGCTCAACCTGTTTTAGATTTTCATAAAACCCACCCGGGTTCACTTTTTAATTCCTTCTGTTCTTACCTAGGTCCCTTTGTAATTTCTACTCCCCCCAATCCACTGTGATTAGAATGACTTTGTATTCCAAATAAAGTGCTTAAGTAATCTTAAACCATTTTTGTGTTAGTCACACTTTAAAGTTCCTGTAGGAACTTTTGATTAACCTGAGAAAGCTACTGTTACAACATTAAAGTGATATGATTTCACCCAAAAGCAAGGAAATAAATGTTTTAGTGGGTACAATCTTTTTGTGGTTAAATATGTACAGATTTAGTTAAGGTTTTTGAATCATTAAGAGTACTTCATAGAACTCCTGTTTTCACCTATCTGGTAAAAAAAAGTACACCACTGTTCTAACCTCACATCCCGGTCTTGTGTTGTTTATTTCCACATTCAGTTCTTGAAGAGACAGAGGCCACCACCTCCGTTAAAGACTATTTTTCAATATTGTCATTTTTGTTGATTTAGAGATTCGTGTTTTCCAAATTTTAGAGTTTGGGAAGTCGCTAGAAGGACACAATGCTAAACATAAATTGCAGTCATGTTTAGAAAAGGCAGATGTTATAATTCAGTCTTTTATTCTTTGAGGATCTTATTGCAGTTCAGAGAATTAGTGAATCCTTTGAATTACTCCTGATCTGTTGTTAACTGTTGTATTAACTTGACATGGCAGAAGACTTTTGTCCTTTTGTTCGTGTTTTTGTTAATTCACTTCTTTTTTTGTAATTTGCTGTCTTTCAATTGGCAAAGCATTTTCTTATATACTCAGGATTTTATAATTAAAAAAGCAGAACTTTTACATTGTAGGTGATAGCTAAGAATGCTAAATAAACTTATAACAAGGTTGTAATAAGTACTTGCTTGTCATTTTGGTTGAACTGAGTTAAAGTTTCACTTCCTATTGATGGAAAAAGGAAGTATGTGGTAAAATAAAGCAGCTGAAAATTAAATTGATGTTTTGTGCCCAGTCTCATGAATGTTGCAAGTTACATCTTTATGATCAGACTTTTCTAATGTAATGAAAGCCTTAAGTGTGTGACTTTTAATACATAAGTTTGAGTATTACTTTATAGTCTTTAGTAATTTAGAGTTGCACTGTCCAATAGCAGCCAATAGCCATATGTGACAGTTGAGGACTTGAAATAGAGCTACTGTGAATTTTGATGTGCTTGAGTGTAAAACACACCAGATTTCAAAGACTTAGAACAAAATCTTTTTAAGATATTCAAATTTTATATTATGTATTGATAGTTTAAATTGAGTTCAATAAAAGATATTACTAAAGTTAATTGTACCTGTATTTTTCCTTTTTTTTGAAACATGACTCCAGGAATTTTTTTAATTACCCACTTTGGGATTGAACACAGAGTCTTATGCATGCTAAACATGCACTATATCACCAAGCTACACTTGCATTATACTTTTATTGGACATTTCTATTCTAGAGCAGTACTAGTATTCTGAGAAATAAATAAAAGTAGACATATGAGGCTGGAGATGTGCCTTAGTGATAGAGTGCTTGCCTAGCCTGCCCAAGGCCTTGGTTTTGATCTTCAGCATCTCAAAAAAAGGGAATAAATAAAAGCAGACATATGAAAACCAAAACTTTCCTGACTGTGTATCCTCTTACAATCGGAATAATCAGAGGGCTAAGGACTTTGGTGATAAGAAAGATAAAGTTATATAGTAACCATTATTTCATAGACAGAAATAGGTAAGTAAATTCTATTTCAAAAATAAATATTTTTCAGGTCTACCCTGAAAAAGAAGAAGCAAACATTATTAGTTAAAATAGAAAGTTATCTCATTAATTCCCTATTAGAATGCACTGAAAATTACATTTCATGCTTATTTTAAAAACTGAGTTCAACCCCCATCATTGACTTAAGAAATAGAAGTATGCTAGGTATGGTGGTTTACTCCTGTAATCTCAGCTATGTGGGAGGCTTAGGTTGGAGATGGAGGAAGAGGAAGAAATATGAGACCCTATCCAAAAACTAACTAAAACCAAAAAGGACTGGGTGCCTGGATTAAGTAGTAGATTGCCTGCGTAGCAAGTTCATGGACCTGTGTTTAAACCCCAGTATCTCCAAAAAATTCCAAAAGAAAGAGAAAAACTTGAGTTCATCTGTGAAGCAAAGTCACATATAATAACAGTCTTTAAAATTATAATTCAATTCCTTTTTCTCCAATCTTTTTGATACCTTTGGATGCTGAGTATTGGAGTTTATATGTATTTCCATTGGTTTTTGTTTTCTGTTTTTTAGGTTAAAACCTAAATTGCCCCTTTGATGCTTTAAATACAATTTCAGATTCAAACCTTTTTTTTTCTTAGGTTTTCTGTATTGAGCAGTACTGTTATAGTCCATTTCAGTAGATTAATAGTCCTCACATGGGTTAACTGGAATGAAAATGTTTGTTTTAATAAACTGACCTGAGCTCTAATGTTTATGTTTTTATACACACACACACACACACAGACACACAGTGAAAAAGGCACAATTGTGTTTTGACATTTTAAAATCAATTGCCATGGTCCCAAAGAGGCTGCATATTATGGTGGACTAATAACAGAAAATGAAAGTGCTTAGCTGGTATACAGTTTGCTCATAATAAAGCAGTTTATAATTTGCATCATGTGAGAGGTCATTTTACTTTTCCTATTTTATGAGTTAGCACTCATAGCACAGAATTACAGAATTTATAGCTTGGGAAATTAAGTGAAAATCTGTTTAAGGTTCCTCCTCTAAGTTTAGCATTTCTTACTCCTGTGCTTTACATTATTCACCTCCAATTTTAGAAACTAGTTACCAGGAACATAAAAATTGGAGTGTTTCTCTTACTCCCTGTAAGTCTCTAGAATTGTGGGCTTTTTAGTCCATTTTATCTCAACTTGAAATGTTTTAGGAATATGTTTATATGACTACTTCTTCAGTATTCACTATAAATATTGATAGCATTTAGACCTCCATAGAGTTAAATAAGTCACTTTAAAATGTGTCAGGATAAGCCAAGAAGTTTTACAAATTGATCTGTATTCTTAGGTCTTCGTAGCTTTATATGCTTTTTTGAAATATAAAGATAGTAGTATATTGGTCATTTTTGGTAGTTACAAAAATACTTACCAGAGTTGATAAAGTACCTTTTTTAAAGAGATTGTAAGTCCAATTTGTCATCATTAATTAAACCTTTTAATGGACTATGTATGTTTCTTCTGTGTTCTAGATGAAATTCTAATTTGTCTTAATTGAGGAATCTAGAATTGATACTAGTAGTGAAGAAAAACATTTTTAAAACAATATTATTATATAAGAAAAGTCTAGTTCATAATTTTGGTGTCAAAGTTTGATATGTAGCAGGGGAAAAATTTGGCAGTTATTCCAAAGTTTTATTCGTTTTTTTCTTTACCTTTTAAAGTACAAATTAAACTTCTCAGCATTAATTATACTAAAAATCCTGGTGTTCTTATACCTAAAAACACTTAGTTAAGGGCTATTATAGCGTAAAACTGTTAAGTGTATTCTCAAACACTGTACACTGGATGATCTTGGAAAACTAAGGGAAGAATAATTGTTCTTTGGTTCCTATTTCCCAGTGGCCTGTGCTATCCTGACCCAACAGAATTAACATTTCCAAACAAGTACCCATTGTGAAAAAAAATTAAGTTATTGACTTAGGGATCTCAGTAGTATATTAAAGGTAAAATTCATTCTTACTTCAATTAAAATATTCCTTGTGTAATTCTGCTGCCAGAAAACAGAATATTAAATATGTTAAGTAGATTTAGTGAAGATTTGCTCACCTGCTTCTGCTCATCTCCCAAGATGGAAGCAAACCAATTGGTTTTTAGCTTAATGGTTCTAATCAGTGTGACAGTGTTTTTTTGAACATAAAAGCATGATGAAGACTACTTTTGCAGCTAATATGTTTGGGTTGGTAAACATTTTTAATTTGCCCTAAAAACCTAGATTTCTTGTTCTCTAGAGAGCTTTTGTCAGGCTTACATAAGTTTTAAATTGAAAGATACAGAAATGTTAGAATGGTTTGGATACTATATCTTTTATTTTACTAAAAATTATGGAACATAGATTATTTATTTGCATTGTAAATTGAATCTAGGGCCTTATGCATGCTATGCAAGCACACTGTCACTGAGCTACATCCACAGCCTTGGATAAAGATTTTAATCTTTGATATTTTTCCATGTGCCTTTTCAGTTTATAATCATAAACATATATAGCTTTCCAGAAACTATAATCATTGCAAAGATACAAATTTATATTTTGTCTTTTTTTTTTTTTTTTTTGCTTAGAACAATATAAGAGTATTTCTTTGTTCTAAACCAATCTTATTGGACCTGACAAGTTTCAGTTGTATATATCAATCACTAAATGATATGTTTTTTTTTAAAGTATTACAGTGAATTTCTACAAGATTATTTTAGACAGTATTTTCTTTGTTTTACTTTGGCACCATACTTTGTAGTCAGCATTATTCTTTCATTTGTGGACAAACAGCTCTGTCATCACACACTTCTATTATATGTACATTTCCAGTACCTCACTTAGCCTCTCAGTTATGTCCTAACCAGAGATGTTCTTTTCTAGGTGCCAAGGCTGTCTTCTCACTTGGCTATAATCTTGTTTTGCATTTTTTTTTTTTATTTGGTGCTTGGGATTGAACCCAGGACTTCATATATGCTAAGCAAGTGCTATGCCACTGAGCTATGCCCTCAGCCCCTACAATACTGTTTTGATACAATAGCCCAAAGCTTACTAGTTGTTAAGCCATATCTTAATATATTTTGGGTTAGTGGTTATCCAAGAAAAATACTTTTCAAAAAAAATCAAAAGCCCTAGCAGTCCAAAACAATTTGTGTTCCCAAAAATGGAATGTGGAAAGTTAATCTGCTTATTTTTTGTGGTCATTAAGAATACATAAAAGTTTTGATGATTATTACATGAGCAACCAACATAAATATAAGTGTGTAGTTGAAAAGAACACTATTAGTGAATAGTTTCTGTACAAAATTCAGAAATTTTATTTAACGTATAAGTTTTTTTAAAGGTGTCCAAAGCATATGAAATTATTCAGAAATGTTTCAGATTCTGAAGCTATAATCAGTGACGTTAGCAGTTAACTTTTGAAAGATGACTGATGAATATGTGGTTAATTCTTACTTTTGTCCATTTCCAGCTTACAAAACACTACACAGCAAAATAATGATCTGCTAGACTGCTAACCCGAGCATCCAGCTTCCACAATGCCTGTGCAGGCAGCTCAGTGGACAGAATTTCTGTCCTGTCCAATCTGCTATAATGAATTTGATGAGAATGTGCACAAACCCATCAGTTTAGGTTGTTCACACACTGTTTGCAAGACCTGCTTGAATAAACTTCACCGAAAAGCTTGTCCTTTTGACCAGACTGCTATCAACACAGACATTGATGTACTTCCAGTTAACTTCGCACTTCTCCAGTTAGTTGGAGCCCAGGTAAACTTTCAGTATTATACTCATTTAGTATCTATAGTGCTTGTCAAACTCTGTTCCTTCAAGGGTATAAAATATGTTTCGGGATATTTGGACATTTAAAAAAAATTATTGATGTACCTAGTTTTCATGATTATCTTATTTTCTTAATGTCATAAAATTCTTAAGAAGACCCGTAAATTCCATTATAGTTACATATTTTCTTCCTCAAGACTAAGGTCAGGATTATGTACAAGTGCATTAGGTAGATGAGAACATTTTTATATATGCATACATAAATATTTATTCATTAATATTAAAAAGATATAATTAAATCTTTGGCCAGAAGCCAACCAACTAGAGCTTTCGGAGACGTTTAACTTCGGTTGTTGAAGGATAATATAAATGAGAAAATGAGTTCTACATATACGTACATATACACACATAAACATATAAACAGACATATACACATATGTTTGTTTCCATCTGTGTACGTGTAGATGTATAGGTGTATATGGAAACCAGTTACCAAAGTGTCAGAAACACAATCTGTACAGTTTTTTCTGTACATGTGCTATTCAATAATATTAATACATAATATTTCATGTTATATCATTTTAGTGCTAGAGAAAGACCCTAAATTTGTAATACTTTCATTGAGTAAGGGTTATTCTGTGTTACTTATGATACTAAATATTACTGATTTTTATCATAGCTTTTAGGATACTTATGCCTATTCTACAGGTGAGGGAGAAAATGAAATTATGTACATTATACATTACATGTTAAAGCAAGATAGTTGTAGTAAGTGGTGAACACTGGTAATCCCAGTACTGATGGGGAGAGGCGGAGACTAGGCAGGAGAATTGAGAGTTCAAGGCCACCCTGGCCTACATCATAAGACCCTGTCTCAAAAAAATAATAATAATAAGTGAAGTAAGAAAGCAAGGATTTTTCCAGTTTGTAAGAAAATACTCTGATTTATTATAAAACTAAATGAACCAAAATACTCTGTTGTTCTCCTTAGTATCTTGATATTTGAAGTTTCCCTTGTAAAGCAGAAAATCTGTTTTCAATATTTATAATTCAGTTAGACACTGAAATCAAGGCACATCTGTAATTGATGATGCCGTAATGTAATTGGCAGCATATTTTTCTTAAAAGAACATGAAACAGCTAGGTACCGGTGGCTCACACCTGTTAGTCCTAACTACTCAGGAGGCAGACATCAGGAGGATTGCGGTTCGAAGCCAGCCCAGGCAAATAGTTTGCAAGACCCTATCTCAAAACAACCCATCACAAAAGCAGGGTTGGTGGAGTGGCTCAAGGTGTAGGCTCTGAGTTCAAACTCCAGCAGCACCAAAAAAAGAAAAAAGCATAAACAGTGTTGCCTCTTGGCAGTTTAGATTCAATAAAATAAGTGGACTTGTTTTCTTAGTGTATGCTGTAGGTCAGGATGTGTTCCTTTTAAAGATATTTGATATGTTCCTATTAAATTTTATCTCACTTGGTCCTCAAAATTGTCTATAAGTCTTTGCATTGTGATTTCTCTCTCTTCAACCTCATCTACCACTATCTCTACTTATTGGCCTTCTAGCCAGTTCTCAAATATGCCAAGCTGTTGTTCCCTAGGGCTTTTGTAGTTTTCTTGCCCAGAAGGTTCCTTCCCTCTCCTCTTTCTTTATTCAGGTGTTGTAAGGAAGCCTATCCTGATCATGTCAGTTAAAATTATAACCCTTCTCCAGCATTTCCAATCCCCCTTATCTTTGCTGTGTAATATTTTACTTAGTACCTTCTACATACTAGATATTTATGTTTTTTATTTGTTGGCTGCTTCTAATCTCAATAGAATAGAAGGTCTATAGGACAAGGAATGTTCTGTTTGCTCACCGTAGATCCCTAGTACTGGGCACATGATTAATTCAATATAAATATTTGTTGAATTAAATTGAACTTTCATAATGGCATTATGAAATGTGGATATTCATCTCCATTTTGCAGATGTGGAAAATGTCATTTGGAACAATTAAATAATTTTTCTCAAGATCACTCATAGAAGTAGCAAAGCTGGAAGTTTCACCCATGTTTTTGACAGTGTGTGTATGCTCACACATGTGCACATGTGTGTCACTGGAGATCAAACCCAGAACCTTGTACATACTACATGGGTGCTGTACTACTGAGCTACACTCTTTGATTGCTAACACTGTCTTGTGGTGGTTATATTCTAGCACGGGAAACAGACCATTAATTGTAAATTTAATAATAATATAGCAAGGAGATACTAAATGCTAAGGAAAAAAATCCCTGCCTTTTTTTCCCCTTCTTCTTATTTTGAAATACTTTAAAACTAACAAAGAAGTTGCAAAAAGTAGCAACTATACAGATCCTCTGGATGAATGTTTTTCTGCATCCCTTCCTTTTTTTTTTAGGTACCAGATCATCAGTCAATAAAATTAAGTAATTTAGGTGAGAATAAACACTATGAAGTTGCAAAGAAATGTGTTGAGGATTTGGCACTCTACTTAAAACCTCTAAGTGGAGGTAAAGGTAAGTTCCTAAAAAGCATTTTTACTGGCGAGTAGGACTTGGTAAGTGTTAAATGTTGGGCACTTGCAGTGGTTAGGTCACTGCCTTCATGGAGCCACATGTATTCAGGAGACAAATATAATAAGATATTAAAAGTAAAATTTTATTTTATCACTGCATCCCCAGTAACTAGCACATCATAAATTATTGAATAAATCAACCAAATGTTTATTTGATACTGCCAATGAGCATGGACTATGTACCAGGCACTATTCTGATGCTTGGGATACTTTAGTAAACTAGACAGAAAAGTCTACTACGCACATACATAATACTTATATTTTAGAAAAGAGAAAATATATATAAGTAATAAGCATAAAACATTATATTGTATGAGCAGCAAAAAAGATTATATAGTGTAAGTGGTAATTGATACAAAAAGAAAACAGTAGAGTTAGAGGGATCAGAAATGTCAGGGTGAGGGACAAGATCAAATTGCAGTTTTAAGAATAGTGTAGGCTTCATTAAATTTGCTTTTGAACTTAAGATGAGGTGAAAGAGATGATACAGTTAACAATGTAGGTTCTGGGAATAGAGTGTTACAGGAAGAAGGAATACCTAATGCAGCATCCCCAAGACATGCCTGGTGTCTTCAAAGAAAAGGAAGAGAAGGGTGTGCCTAGGGGAATGTGAGTGAGTAGGAGAGCAGCCTGAGATGAGATGAAATGGTGACACTAGATGATGTACAGACTTACAAGCCATTTAAAGACTTAAGTTTTTACTCTGAGTAACGTTGAAGAGTTATTGCAGGGTTTTGAACAGAGCAGTGACATTTGATTAATGTTAAAATGATCAGTCTGACTGCTGTGTTGAGAATTTGCTATATAAGGGTAAGAGTAGAAGCAGGGTGATCAGTTAATAGGCTGCTAGAGCAAGATTTTTAGCAGTAGATGGGGTGCAGAATGGTCAGTAGAGTCAAAACTATTTCCTAAGTTACTGGATTTGAAGTTTGAGATGCAGAATAAAGTCAAATATGATCGGAGTTAACTGGTAAGGGGGTTGCCATAAACTTACAGAATAGTGGAGGTATTGGGATTAGGTAAGATGTTTGAGTTTAGTTTTGGTCATAGTGAGTTTGAGTGGCTACTGGGTGTATGAGTTTTGTGTTAAGGATGAGGTTTAGGAACTAATTTTGGGAGTCAGTGGCATTTAAAGCAGTGAAACCAGGTGAGATCACCTAAGGAGTGAGTTTAGATAAGAGAAATAGACTGGATCCTGAGTTCCTTTAGCATTAAGAGGTGAAGAAAAAATGATGAAAGTAGCGAAAGAAGACTAGAAAAAAAAAGAAAGGAAGAGAACGAAGTATTTTGGAAACCAAATATGTAAAGTGTTGAAGCACTGAGGAGTAACTGTGTGTTGAATGATACTGGAAGGTCAAATAAGGACTGAGAATTACCGTGGACTTAGCAAAGTAGAGATAATTGTCTTACAAAGCAGTTTTGGTCAAGTTATAGTGGCACAAATTAATTGGAGTAGGTTTTAGAAATTGTGAAATAATGAGTTGGAGATTGTAAATACAGAAAATCTTCAGGGTGGCCAGATACATTGGTGCACACCTGTAATCCCAGCATTCAGGAGGCTGGGACAGGAGGACCACAAATTTGAGAGCAGCTTGAGCTACGTGGGGAGTTGGAGGTTAGCTTGGGCTACATAGTGAGACTGTCCCCACCCTCCACTCTCCAAAAAAAGAGGCTGGAAGAAGCTATGCATAGTAAAACACACCTGTAATCCCAGCACTCAAGAAACTGAGGCGGGAAGATCACAAGTTTAAAGCCAGCCTAGGCCACTTCCAGGCCAATCTAGGCTACATAATAAGACCTTGTCTCCTCCCCGTACCCGCCCTCCATCCCCCAGAAAAAGGCTGGGGATGTAGCTCAGTGGTAGAAATGCTTGTCCATCATGCACAAGGTTTGATCCTCAGCACTACGAAAAGAACAACATAAAATGAAACAAAACCCTGGAGGATTTGCTATAAAAGAGAGGAAAGAAATGGGACACTGTAGTAGAGGAAGAAGAATCAATGAAAAGATCTGTGGGTTTATTTTTAAGATGGATGAAATAACTGCATACTTCTTACTGTGTGGTAATGGAAATGACCAAAGTGGGAAACAGTGTTGATGTGGGAGAAGGGAAAATTGCTGAGCAGTGTCCTTGAGTAGATTCAAAGGAGTAAGGTGTAAGAGCTGTTACTGTTCATTACTTTCAGGTTAAAATTTGTATTCAGTCATCTTTAAATTTACCTCAAGTTGCTTTAGTAAGGATGGAGAGCAGACTAAAATCAAAAGTCCTGTCTTGGGACACACACAACCCAGAGAATAAGACACCTAAATAAAATCAGAAATAACTAAAGATTAGACTCCTTATTACTACTGAATGGTAGTAAATAGAGACAGAATAGTCATTGTTAAAAAAATAAAAGTACATTACAAGGGACTCATTTGGAATTGTGACTTAATAGTTAAATACAGATAATGAAAATTGACTTGTCTTTTTTTTATTGAAAAACCTTTGGTTCCCTTTGTTTCCCTTTTCTTAAAGGTGTAGCTAGTTTGAACCAGAGTGCACTGAGTCGTCCAATGCAAAGGAAACTAGTGACACTTGTAAACTGTCAACTGGTGGAGGAAGAAGGTCGTGTCAGAGCCATGCGAGCAGCCCGTTCACTTGGAGAAAGAACTGTAACAGAACTGATATTACAGCACCAGAACCCTCAGCAATTGTCTGCCAATCTATGGGCTGCTGTCAGGGCTCGAGGATGCCAGTTTCTAGGGCCAGGTAAAATAGATGACCATCTTAGCTTTTTTATTGATTATTAGGGCTTAAAGATGCCAATTTCTAGGGCTAATTAAAAATTCTGACACTCAGTCCATCTTTATACATACATATCTTGACAAAGATACTCAGTTTTTGTCAATCATAATCTATATTATACCCAGCGCTTTCGTGTTTTAGTACAGATTTCTTATTTAATCCTCAGCCATCTCTGAGACAGGTGACATAGCTATAATTTTACAAATTAGAGAACTTAGTTAAATAGAGACCTAAGACCTTTTTTTTTCTTTAGAAAATATAAATAAAAAACATTTGGAAAACATAAAATTATTAAAACCACCAGAGGATAACTTTTATGGTTAGTGCTATGTTCTGTTTGAAAAAATTTTTATAGCAAGGTTATGAAGCACTTACCTGTGTTTCTTGAAGTTTATTTTTGCTTTTCAGATTTAGAACTTCGGTTTGAATAGAATTTAATTTTTGTGAAGGAAACATTTTTTAAATAAGTGACATTGGGATAAGTGGATGGGCATGTGAGAAAAACAACAGAATTGGGTATATTCTTTATATTTATCACTACCTAAATTTCACATAGGTCAGAAATACTTGTGATTAAAGCAAACAATAATTCTTTTAAACTGGGAAGTAGGAAACACTTTTTTAACTTTGATTTATAATCCAGAGAAATAGGGAGAAAAATGATACTTGACTATATAATTGTGTGTTTAGTTAGCATCACAAAAAAATATAACTAAAAGCTGGAAAGGTGACAAACCTAAAAATATTTGTAAATTCTATCATATGCAGAGACTAATATAACTAATTATAAAGTGCTTCAAAAAATTCAGAAAGAAGATGGATGCTGTGGCTCACACCTGTAATGCCATCTACTCAGGAGGCAGAGATTGGGAGGATCATGGTTCCAAGGTCTTGGGCAAAAAGTTAGCCAGCAGACTGGATGTGGTGGAACACTTGCCTGTGGCCCCAGCTATATGGATGGCATAGGTAGGAGGATAGCAGTTCAAGACTGGTCCCAGGCAAAAAATATAAAACCCTATCCAAAAAATAAATAAAAATGGGCTAGAGGGAGTGTCTCAAGTTGTACTTAATTGTCTAGGAAGCGTGAGGCCCTGAGTTCAAATTCAGGGTACCACCAAAAAAACTCCCAAAAAAAAGTGGGAAGAAAAAGACCAACAACCCAATGGAAATATTGACACAAGATGTAATTCATATGAAAAAAGTAATACAAATGCCCTCATTTATAAAAAGCTATTCAGTCTAAAAATACAAATTAAAATTGTACTGAAATACCATTTCTTAACCTTTCAGATTTGCAGAATCTAAAAGTTACAGCATATTCTCGTGACTGAGCTGTGGGGAAACTGGATAGTTTGATGCAATAGTGGAGAGAATGCTGCAAGTGGTTTAAACTTTTAAGAGAAATTTGACAACATAGAATGCCTAAGGTTATATAGCACTATTTGTAACAGCAAACATCTGGAAGTAAACCCAGATAACTATAAGAAGATACTGATTTAAAAACTGGGATATCTTTCTAGAAGAGCATTATGGAGCTGGTGAGAGTAATGATGAAGATGTATAATTCTGCTACAGCATGATCCAGACATATTTTTATGTTAAAAATAAAAGCAAAGTACAGAATACTGTACTTACTGTAGAACCTTCTATGTAAGAAGAGTGAGGCACAACAATTATCTACTTATTTTGTTTACATTTTTGGAAACAAAAAATGGCAGGACAAATAATAATAAAAAGATTACATGGAGTAGCGAGGAAACAAGGGAAAACAGAAAGGAGCAGAAACTAGAGCATGATGATTACCTTGTTTTGTACTTTGAAACTGTGTAAAATTTTTTTGTAATTATAAAATAAATTTAAATTTTAAAATGGAAGTAAAAACGATTAAGTCAAAATAATGCATAAAAATAAAACTAAGGGGCTGGCAGAATGACTCAAGTGATAAGAGTGCCTGCCTAGCAAGCACAAGGCACTGAGTTGAAACACTAGTACTGCCAAAAAAAATTTTTGCTGGAGGCATGGCTCAAGCAGTAGAGCACCTGCCTTGCAGACAGGAAGCCCTAAGTTTTAATTCCAGTACTAACTCCTCCCCATAAAAGTAAAGATAATGAACTAAGGATGTAGCTCAGTGTTTGCTAGCATGCCTGAGTCTGAAGGTCATCCTGATCCCCAAAAGAGAGAGATAGAAAGCTATAACATATCAAGTTGGTAGCATATCAGCACAGGAGTAAATTGTTTCAAGTGACTTTAGAACATAATATTTTGACCATTACATTCAGTAGTCATGTTTATAATACTGTTGTTACTATAAACCTGTTATAGTAGGATAAATATAAATTACTTAACTATGTTAATGCTGTCAGAAACCAATATTTTCAGTTAGCAAGGGTTTTTTTTTTTTTTTCTTTGCAGCACTGGGGTTTGAATTCAGAGCCTCAGCTTGCTAGGCAGAAGCTCTTATAGCTTAAGCCACTCCACCAGCCTAGAAACCAGTATTTTCAGCATTTAAAAAGACACAGTGCTGGGGGCATGGCTCAAGTGGTACAGCACCTGTCTAGCAAGCACAAGACCCTGAGTTCAAACCCCAGTACCACAAAAAAAAACAACAACAAAAAAAAAAGATAGACGTCAGACGTGGTGCGTGCTTGTAATCCCAGTATTTGGGAGGTTGAGGTAGGGCAATCGAGTTCAAAGCCAGCTTGCACTATAAGTGACTTCAAGGCCATAGTGGAATACAGATAGATGCCAAAGTAGAAGAATTTCAAGTACAAACCCTGCAGTCTTAAATTTGAATTGGAATTATAGTGCAGACTCATTTGTTTTTCCAAAAAGTCCTAATTTCTTGTCTGTCTTCTGAAAATCCTTAGAAGCAGTGAATAATCAAAGCACCTAATGTATGAGCCTTAATAAATACCATTTCTCACTAAAAAGAGGCAGACATTTTGGATAAATCTTTTACTCCAGTTCTGAAGTAGGAAAGCAAAAGATAAACCTTGGAACTTTTGTGCTAGGAAGCAAAAAAAAAAAAAAAAAATCAAAGACTAAGAGTCTTGACAAAATCAGAGTTGAACTTAAAGGAGGTCCTACTGGATGAGAGTTTTACAATTTAAACATCAAAATGAATTATAGTGGATGGAAACATAGAAAATACACAAAAATCTATGAGTTCCTAATGATAATGATAAAATATTGTGTTGTGTGGTTGCTAGGGCACTAACCACATTACTCAGAAAATTGGAAAGGGGGTTGGACAAAAAGCCAAGCATTTTTTTCTCCTACCTTTCCATATAAATAAACTATTTTAGGGACAGCTCTTCTGGATTGAGAGAAGTTTCCTATTCTAGCAGAATTCCAACTACAAAAATACAGAATTAGAAAAACTATTATTTTGCAACAAATACTAATTAATGGGCCTAGATAAGAATTACTAGTGTCTGTTAAAATCATTAAATGAAAGATTACTGGGGAAATTTATCATAGATGGATAAGGCCTAAAACTACTGATCAATCTTAAGATAACTATAAGTGAAACAACTGGATCTTATGTTTATGTGTCTTAAGTGATACGTGGAATAAGAACCATACTTAGCTAAAAAGCAAACTCAACAATAAGCAAAAACCCTCAGCCTCAATCTAATCAAGCCTCCAGTTTGCCTAAAACAAGGGAGCTAAAGGAATATATTTTAAAATACAAGCCTAAATAAATACAGAATGATGGAAATTTTTTAGAAAAATTATTGTTTCTTCAAATAAATGAACTTTTTTCTGGTGGTACTGGTATTTGTACTCAGGGCTTCAAGCTTCCTAGGCAAGGGCTCTAGTGTTTGAGCTGTGCTCCAGTCCATTAACTTTCTTTTTAATGGGAGGACAGAGTATTAGGGAAACTGGTATATAATTTTTTTTAAGCCTAACTTCTCAACTAAAAGCAGTATGTGTGTATTTTTGGATACTTATACCAATTATTTTTGGGAAAACGACATGAATTCAGTATTAGATTATATTAAGGAAGTCTGCTGCTTTGGTTAGATGTGATAATAGTCTTATATTAAATTTTTATAAAACAGGCTGAGGGTGTTGCTCAGATGGTAGAGCAAATCTTGAGTTCAAATCCTAGTGTCACCAAAACATAAATGACCTTACCTGCTGTAAATACATACTGAATTATTTAAGTGTACCATAAGTCTGCCTTATTCATTGGATTTATTACATGTGGTTTTAACTAAGTGTGGTCAAAAAATGACAAAATTTTTAAAATAGAAATTTCAAAAGCAAAACTTTTAAATTCTTACACACACACACACATTACGCAACTAAGTTGATAGGGAGTTCTCAGTCCCACCATATTGTCAGTTGTATTTAAAGCATTGTGTGAACTGCCGAGTGTTTTCCTGCTCTTCAATTTGTGAAAATCTGTCTCCCCACAAAACAAATTTGTGCCCAAAAAGCAAGGTAAAAGTTAATGGTAATTCTCCCAAAACCAAAGGGGCACATAATGTGCTTAATTTAAATGATAAAGTGAGAATTTTAGATTTGCTGAAAGGTGTCATGTGTTTTAGTAGAAGTTGGTTGGCATTCTGGGAAAATTGAATCCAGCATCCACAGTGTAGTACTGAACTCTGCATTCTAAGCATTTGTAGTTTTTCCTCAGTGGCATTCTCCTTAGAACCATATACCCATGGATACCAAGGGCCTTCTGTAAAGTAATATATTATCTGGGACTTAACTTCAAAATATCGTGGCCAAAATAACTAGAAAAGTGAGTAAGAGTTAGATGACAACAGCTGTGCTATAGGTAACAAGTTATCTCTAGTTTGTGTACATTTAAGATTTTTCATAATACAAAGTTAAGTATTTTTAACTACACATGTTTTATTTAGGATTCATTAATAGTACAAGGGGTTTCATGTGAAAATTTCATCTGCATACAATGTTAAATATGCATTTTCATATTATTTAAGAATGTTACCTTTGGATATTTGCTCATGTTTACTTACTTTAAGCACTAGATTAGATATTCAATCTTCCTTATTCTACAATTCAACCCAATTTAATAGAGACACAAGACAAACAAGATGGCTCACAGGTAGATGAAAAGATGTTGGATGTCTTTTAGATGTTAGGAAATATAAATTGAAACAACAGCGAGGGGCTGGGGACATGACTCAGTGTAGAGCTTTTGCCTACCATGTGCTAGGCCCTCCGTGAGTCCACTGTGCAGTACCACAAGAACTAAAATAAAAATAAACCACAATGAGATATTACTTCATACCTATTTCATTGTCTGTGACTTTAAGAAATGGAAAATAACAAGTTGGTAAGAATGTGGAGAATGAGGACATAGAAAATGGTACACTGTTGTGGGGAAGACATTTTGCAGTTCCTTAAAAGTTAAACATGATCCAGTAGTTTCACTCATAGGTAGATACCCAAAGGATTAGAAATCAGATATTCAAACTAATACTTGAACACAAATGTTTATATAAATACTATTCACAATAGTTAAAAGGTGAACGCAAGCTAGACCTGGTGGCTTAGACTTGAAGTCCCAGCTCTCAGAGGCTGAGACAGGGGGATGTGTTTGAGGCTAGTCTGGGCTTATGCAGGCAGATCCTGTCTCAGACCTTTAGCCTCCCCAGTGCTAGGATTACAGGCATGAACCACCAGGACTTTAATGTTCTTTTATCTGGAACTATTTCAGCCTTTCTTTGTCTTTCACAGTGTTGATATTCTTGAAGAATACAGGTTAATTATTTCATAGAATAAAATTAAAAGGTAGAAACAACCCAATTGTCAGCTGATAAGTGCATAAGCAAAATGTAATAAATCCACCATTAGACTATTACTCAGCCATAAAAAGGCATGAAGTACTGATATTTATTGTTGGTGAATGTACTCTGAAAATATTGTGTCAGTGAAGGAAACTTGACAACAGATGAGGTTGCCAGGGGCTGAGGGTAGAAGTGACTGCTTTATGACTATGGGGTTTCCTTTGGGTTAATGAAAGTAAATGTCTTTGACTGAATGTAACTGAATTGTATGCTGGTTTTTTTTTTTTTCTTTCTTTTTTTTTTTTTTGGCAGTGCTGAGGATGTAAGCCCCAGCTTCCTGTATACTATCACTCTACCACTAATCTACACCTCCAGTCCTGTATTCTTTAAAATGGTTAATTTTATGAGTCAAAAAATTTTAAGTTCTTGGTTCTAGCTCCAGTTTTACTGCTGAGTATAGTTACATTGTCATGGCTTAATCTATACCTTAAAAGTCTGAACTTGGAAAAAGTGTTTTGATTTTGAATCCAGATCCTATATGGTCTCTCAGCTGTAAGTTTCCATTATTTTGATTGATCCCCACATATTTTGACTTAATTTTGAAATAATTTCAAATTTGCTGAAAAATTGCAAATGCAATACAGAGAATTCTCTATATACTCTTGACTTATATGCAACACTTTCTAATATTTTGCCATTTGTTCATCTCTTTTCTGAACCATTTGAAAATAGGTTGCATATTTTATGCCCCCTTTACCCTCAAAATATTTCCACCTTTTTCCTAAAAACAAGGATGCTTTTATGTAATAACATTATATTCACCAGATTGTTACAGTGCTACAATCTATAGTTCATATTTCACTTTTTTCAATTCTTATATATTTTCTTCTAGCGTACAATCCATTTCACATCTACTTATTGTAGTCATTTTACTGTTCTTTTTACATTTATTTTTTGAGGGAAGTTCTTGCTTTATGACCCAGGTAGCCTCAAACTTAACAATCCTTGTGCGTCAGCCTCCTAAGTGCTGGAATTATAGGCATGTGCCACCATGCCTGGCTTTTAATGCTCTTTTTTGTGCATCCATTGCTCAGCCTTTCTTTGTCTTTCATGGTATTAATATTCTTAAAGAATACAAGCCTTTTTTTTGTTTTGTTTTTTGGTAGGATTGGGTTTGAACTCAGCTTTGTGCTTGCAAAGCAGACGCTCTACTGCTTGAATGACACTTCCAGTCCATTTTGTTCTGGTTATTTTGGAGATTGGGTCTCTTGAGCTTTTTGTCCAGGCTGGCTTTGAACTGTGATCCTCCTGATTTCAGCCTTCCATGTAGCTAGGATCACAGTTGTGAGCCACTGGTTCCTGGCCTACAGAGTATTTCTTAATTTACTTTTGCCTGATGTTCCCTCATGATTTGATCCAGATAATAGTATACAGCCCCCCATTATAAAACAGCAAAACTGAAGTTAATACTTTCTCTTGCCATTGCATTCAGAGGCTAATATCATTTTTAAGTTGTATGCAAAATAGTTTCTTACAGTAACTGTCAGTAATGCATAAGCCTGTTGTATGTCCTTTGCATATTGTATTGTCCCCATAATTGTGTGTTTTATGAATTACTTTTCCCCCATACACATTATCATTATTTAATTGAGTATTATATACCTGCAGAAAATATATTATTAAAGTTCTGTTGACTTGTGTTCTGATTGGTTATTATGTTTTCTTTTGCTTGATTATGTTTTAAATTATATTTGCATTTATATGAAACACTTTTGTGCTAATTAAGTGCAGATTGTAAGTAATGGACTATCATTAACTAATACCCAAAGATATCTTTGGCTGACATGATCTGCAGGATGATAGTTCCTTTACTGTTTCTAGCTATGCAAGAAGAGGCCTTAAAGTTGGTGTTGCTGGCATTAGAAGATGGTTCTGCCCTCTCAAGGAAAGTTCTGGTACTTTTTGTTGTGCAAAGACTAGAACCAAGATTTCCTCAGGCATCAAAGACAAGTATTGGTCATGTTGTACAACTACTGTATCGAGCTTCTTGTTTCAAGGTAAGCACTAAGCAACTGTCTTAATATTACATGCCTATATGAGAGCAGAGGCTTTCTAGAACTCGTAGTTACCCAGTCTAGTGGCCCCAGAAATGCAGAATCCTAAAAAAAGTTGAAAGGAACCTTTTTTTTTTTCCTTCTGCATTAATTGCACCCTTCATATCAGATATCAGTTATTGCCTGTTGGTTTCAATAACATAAAACAGAACATAAAGAAATAGTTTGATAAATGTTGGACTTTGATCAGGAAAAAGTGTAAAAGCATATAACAAGTGAACTAAAGAAACCTTACTTAAATTTATCATCTTAAAAGTTAGTTAGAAATTATATTGTAAACTTCATGAGAATGCAATGGCTTTGTAACCCATTTTTGAAAAATCCTTTTTGTAATAATTAACATCTTTAATATGAAAATGGCTTGTATATTTTAGGGATGACAAGAAAATATAAAAAGCAAAGGAGATTGCCATAGTTCATATTCTGTGTTTCTTTCTTTCAGGAATGTTTTCAAATGTAATTTTACTGTTTGATAGGCCAGTTGGTAGTGAAAGTTACCAAGAGGTGCAAAGCAGCCTGAATCCTTGGAAGTTTCTGTATTTTACAAAAGTGTAGGTTGTCAACTAGGTCTTGAAAAAGACTCAAAATACTGGAAATTGACCCCTTAGCTTCTTTGAAAGTAAAACATCTAAATTTAAAACTGAAGCATATTTAGTTTATTTTGTTCATTTTAAGGCTCCAACAATGAAAACAGAACAGATAAAAATGTTTCCTCAGCAAACTGCTCCATTTTAGATAACAGACAATTGATGATGGGAATATGTTCAAATGGATTCTTTTAACTCAGCTAATAAGTCTTGGGCACTATCTGCCTAATAGTCATAGTGCTTGATTTCATTTCTTTAGTGAAGCAGCAGTAAAAATCAGTCTCTGATTCCTCAAACGTTATGGGTTTGACTTAGCTGCCTTAGTTTGGTTATCACACTATGTATCACTGAAATACTGTTTTTTTCTTTCTCGTAGGTATTATATTGATGTGAGGCTTATGACTGTTGTACATCTATAGCTACTATTTGAGCTATGACATTTAAAGAACGCTATTTTAGAAAGTTATTTCAATTTTATATTCTCATTTCATCCTCAGTGCCATACAGTTCAAAATAGTAAAGCAGAATGTTTGGATGAATAAAAGAATACTATGCTGACTTAACTGCCAAAAGGCCTCACTTAGGTGACATTTCCTTTTATCAAACTTACCATTGTCCAGGATCTTTTATTCATGTTGATCACCTTAGAGACCTGCATTTTGTGGTTGCCTACAACAGATCATCAGTTTTATAAATTTGTAATGAGAAATGCCTTTTTTTTTTTTTTTTTATCATACTGGGGTTTGAACTCAGGGCCTCACGCTTGCTAGGCAGGGACTTTATCACTGGAGCCAGTCTACCAGCCTTTTTTCTGTGTTGAATACTTTTGAGATAGGGTCTCAAAATTGTATTTTTCAAAGTTTTACAGATAAAGTGCATATCAGCACTTTACAAGGACAGGTTCTGTTAGTCACCTATGCTTTCTTCACTACTTAAATGTTTATGTCACCCATGGAACCTTTTGAGTCCTGCATGGTGTTGAGATGAGGCTACTAGGCTGGGGACATGGCTCAAGTGGTAAGAGTGCTTCCCTAGCAAACAAGAGAGGCCCTGAGTTCAAACCCTAGTACTTAAAATTTAAGAAACATGTTACCATACTCTGGATTTTTTGTTTGTTTGTTTCTGTATTTAGGTTGATAATTCCTCCTTTTGTTACCTTTGTGTTTCTTTATGTAGGTTATTGTGGAATATAGATTTTTGTGACTTCCAAATTATACCCATACTTTACTCTTTTTTAAATACTTAGGATTGTATTGAATAAAATTTGCATTGTTCCAAACTCTTCTCTAATACATTTATAGATCACCAATGAGAATTGTGACCTATTAATTCTCAGATGGTAATTTGATTTCCTTCATGTTCATGTTCTTGGCATATTACTACTGTTGTCTAATGTTCCAGCAGCAGCAGCAGTCAGTGAAGTGGTCTGGGATTATTTTCTTTTACCAATGAAGAAAATTAAGTTGCTTTTTTACTTTTATTTTTGTTTTTGTTTGTTTATGTTTGTTTGAGAGAGGGTCTTGGTATTTAGCCCTTGCTGGCCTCCATCTCAGGATCTTCCTGTCTCAGTCTCCTGAGTAGTTTGGTTCATCCATTCTGTTTCAGAACCTGGACTCATCTTACATATTCCGACTCCTAACCAAGTTATCACCACACATTAGCAAATTTTAGTGTTTGAGTAATAAGTGTATGTCATTTATTGTGGAAATTGTGTAGCCAGCAATATACCTGCATGTTTACGTTATTAGACAACTTCACTAGTTCTCATAAAACTATGTAATAACTCTTGTATAACATTGGAATTTATGTTTTTTTAATCAAGTAAGTCAAGTAGAGAATTAATGTATATTATTTACCTCAGTGACAATTTCTGTTGAGGCAGAAAATTTATTAATTATCATGTGGTAGTGCTAATATATACCTGCCCGTGGGCTCTGTCAATCAGCTTCTCTCTATATCTCTGCTCTCTTTCTTTCCTTTTGTCCCTCCCTCCCTCCCCCCTTTTCTTCTTCCTCCTGCTCCACTCCTCGTCTTTCTTCCTCCCTTCTTTCCTTCTTCCCTCTCTCCCTCTTCCCTCCCTCTCTCCCTCCTTCCTCACACTGAACCCAGGGCCTTGCACATAATAGGCAACCACTGTACCACTTATCTATATCCCCAGCCCCCTCTTTGGCTGGATTTTTTATTTATGTATTTTTATCCTCTGCTCCTACCAAAGTGATATTTTTTAAAATATAAATCTGATTGTATCACTCTGCACTTAAAAGTCTTACAACTTTTCATTCCCTTTTGGATAATATAAAAATTTCTTACCATAGCACATAAGGCCCTGTATGATCTTTGGCCTGTATTGTAGTCTTTTAATTGTATGTCTTCTCATCTTTCATGTTTCTATTTTAACACTTGCTACTCTTTTTTAGAATTCTGTTCCTCACCCTCCTTTGCCTGAAGAACTTTTACTCATTCTTCAAGGTGTAGTTCATGTTTTCTACCGCTAGAAGCCTTTTCTGAAAGGCTTCTCTTCTTAATAGGTTTAATTGCCTTTCCTCTGTGTTGCCCTAGAGCTTTATAATAGCACTCTGTCTGTAATTTTCTGTTTACAAGTCTCTCTTCCCTGCCACTTGCTGATAAAGTCATTGAAGACAAAGACTATATTTAGTTATGTAAGTTTTGTTTTATTCCAAACTGGATTTTCAGTGAGGACATTATCTTATCTTTGTGTCTACTTTGTGTGATGTTTGATATGTAGTCTGCCTTCTCACTCCCCTGCCAAAAAGTAAATGAACAGTTTGAGATAGAAAAGAGCAGCAGATTGATTCTGGTAAGTTTTTATTTTTTTCTTTTTCAATTTTAGGTTACCAAAAGGGATGAAGACTCTTCCCTGATGCAACTAAAGGAGGAATTTCGGAGCTATGAGGCGCTACGCAGAGAACATGATGCCCAAATTGTTCATATTGCTATGGAAGCAGGCCTTCGTATTTCACCTGAGCAGTGGTCCTCACTTCTCTATGGTGACTTGGCTCATAAATCACACATGCAGTCTATTATTGATAAGGTTTGTGAAATTAGATATGCCGAGTTTATACCATTGCTGTTTACATTGAAGAGCATTAGAATATCGATGTGTCTTCACTTACCATCACACTATGTCCATCTAAGTTGAGAATGCATTTAATAAACCTAACTTACTGAACATCGTAACTTAGCAACATAGTTCCCTGTAAAGTATTGATTGTGTACCCTCATGAACATGTGGCTGACCGTTATAGCTCATTGTTAATGTCCAACATTGTGAAAGAGTATGTTATTGTACATCACTAACCTGAGAAAAGATCAAATTGAAAATTTGAAATGCCATTTCTGCTATATGTATATTTCTTTTGTACCATTGTAAAGTTGAAAAATCATAAGTTGAACCATTGTAAGTCAAGGAATATTTGTTCTAAAGGGACTAAAGAAACATTTGCACATTTCCATTATAGTAGGTTCTTCTAAGTTTTTATTGTTTTGTTTGTTTTTTTTGGTGTACTGGGATTTGAACTCAGGGCTTCATGTTTGTGAGGCAGGTGCTCTATCACTTGAGTCACACCTCCAGCCCCTTTTATTGTTTTGTAACTTTCAAAATAAACTAAGGGTTGTAATAGGGAAACAAGTATGGGATATTAGTATGAATGTAGCTAGGCTTACAAAGCTCCAAGTTTATTTACTTTCTAACCCCAGACAGCTAACACAGCTTATAAATGTGTTTTCTAAGTGTCTAATGATGAGTTTCATAGGGCAGATTCTGAGATGAAAATTTAATTCATCGTTGAAACTCCTACTATGGAATCTGAAGACACTTGAAAACCTTTTAAGTAACTGATCATTGGAAAGCATTTGCATATAGGTGTGTCATAAGAACCAGAGTGAAAAACATTCTCTTTTCTGTTTGTTAGCTTCAGTCTCCAGAATCATTTGCAAAGAGTGTCCAGGAATTGACAATTGTTTTGCAACGAACAGGTGACCCAGCTAACTTAAATAGGTTGCGGCCTCATTTAGAGCTTCTTGCCAACATAGACCCTAATCCAGGTATGTGGGGAAATGCTCATATGGTTATAGTTTGTCTACCTTTGAGATAAATAACACTAGAGAATTACTGCTAAAACATTCTCTGTCCCCACCCCCGTCTCCTTGGCACTTACTTTAGATGCTGTTTCACCAACTTGGGAGCAGCTAGAAAATGCAATGGTAGCTGTTAAAACAGTGGTTCATGGCCTTGTGGACTTCATACAAAATTATAGTAGAAAAGGCCATGAGACACCTCAGGTAAGTACGTATATTTTACTTCTCACTGATGTTATCTCTAACCCAGCTTCATCCTGAACATCTTAACAGTCTGTTTGGTAAATGAACTCCTCATGTGACTCTTTTCTCTCATAAGGTTTTTTGTTTTGTTTTGTGTGTATGTGTATGTGTAATGCTATGGATCAAACCCAAGGCCTCAAGCATGCTAGGCTAGAATGCTGCCAATAAGCTGCATCCCCAGGTTTCTCACAAGTTTTTATTTTCTCTGTTATTTTTGAAGAAACTTAGTTTTTAGTGTAACTGATTGGTGTTTTATACTATAACAAGAATGTGTAGGGTATTTCGGATATGAATTCGCTGAATTACAAAATGGTTTTGACTAGGTATAACTTATTGATTCCTTCCATTTTGTCCACTTCTTTTCTACTATGGAAAATTGACACTTTTTTCTCCCAAATGAATTTGTAAAATGTGTGGGATTTGAATTTTTAAGATATTTTTAATGTTCTTAGGGAATTTAAATATAATTCCTTATTCTAGTTATAATTTCCATTTAGTTATTATGGCCCATGCTATGTATAATACGTTACATATTTTATATATAATCCTCACAGCTACCTGCAAGGTAATTGCTGTTTCCAAGCTAAAATTTAGAGAAGTTAAATAATATATTCAAGGCTATGCCAACAGTAACTGACACAGCTGGGGTCAAACCTAGTCTTTAATCTTTTTACTCTTCTGTCCTTATTTGACTGTAAGACACTTCAATATTCAGGTATCAACTGAATGAATGTTAAATGCTTTTGTCTTACAAGAATCTCAGAAGTGAGAATGACATCTTAGATTTTTTATGCAAATTAGAGCTGTTGTGATTAGTATTTTATATTGTGCCTCATTGTTCATGTAAATTTAAGCCACTTAAACCCAAGAATAGAGTTGTAACCCCATGTTGATTAGTTAATTGGTAATTTTTCTGGGAAATTGTAGTCTACATGTCCTGAGAAAGTTTAAGTGGACAAAACTTGTATGACTTTTTAAAAAAATGCTTTTTAAAATTGTTTGATTTTTGTTGTAATGGTTTTAAATAGCAATAAATACATGATAAAAATTTTTCTTTTCATGCAAATTGTGTTGCTTGAAAATAAATAGATATAACATTTGAATTAGTTTCAGATAAACTTCAGAAAAAAAATGTCTAAAATGCTACCTCAGGGTGATGCAACAAAACTTAACAACGGGAAACAATGGAATCGTAGTTGTTTCAACATAAGAATTACTTGTCTAATGTGAAAAAGAATTAAGTCATAAAGTTCTGAAGTCCAAACAGTGAATAACAACTGGAATCTTCACTTTTCCACACATTTAATGTTTTCCTTTGTGTAGCCTCAGCCAAACAGCAAATACAAGACTAGTATGTGCCGAGATTTGCGACAGCAAGGGGGGTGTCCCCGAGGAACAAATTGTACATTTGCCCATTCTCAGGAAGAGCTTGAAAAGTAAGTTTTGAGAATTCTCTTTTATACTTGTTTAATTTTTGGTCCTTGTGAGAGTGTCATAGGTAGTCTAAAGTTTGCAGTGTTTGAAAAATACAAATAAGTTCGTATTTTACATTCTTTGTATTGCAAAATAACCTTTTCTTTTGAAACTAAGATTAATGTGGGTGGAAGATGGACAAGTGATTTAAAAACTTATTCCAGGTTGATATTTTAGGACCATTTTATAGCTAGAATCTGTGTTGGTGCTACCTATGTAGAATGTAAATAACCCCATTTGCCTTTAGCTTACTTGCTCAGCAAAATCTTAGGCAAAAGGATGAAGCAGATACATCTCTATTTCCCAGCTTTTCCCATCTTTAAAGTCCAAGCTGTTGTCCTCTTTCCTTCATATATACTTGATTCTAACTTCTTACATTTACTGTTGTCCACTATCTCTCTGGTTATTTCCCACTAATCTTTCATAGCACCCATGTACTCATGTCACTCCTTTGTGCCTGTCTGATAATTTCTTGTTGCTCTGTGGATAAAGATATAAAATCTTTTTTATTTTTTGGTGAGACTGGGGTTTGAACTCAGGGCTTCACACTTGCATAGAGTAGGCACTCTACCACTTGAGGCACACCTCCAGTCCAAAATGCTCCTTTTTTTTTTTTTTGGTGGGACAGGTGTTTGAATTCAGTGCCTCATGCTTGCTAGGTAGGTGCTCTTAGCACTTGAGCCACTCAGCCAGCCCATAAAATCTGGATTGTAGCCTATAAATTCTCTGCATTTTCTAACCTATGCCTGCCTTTCTGATTGCACCTCCTAATAACACTCCCTATTTATACTCTATACTCATACTGGTCTTTTGTTAGTTCCTAGAATGCATTGTGTCCTTCACTCCTCAGATCTTTCATATAGTCCTGTTTCTTCAAACCTTGACCTTAGAATTTTGTCCTTTGCCCTGCTCATCTTTCACTTTTTCAGGGGGATCTGTTCATTGCTTCCTTCTAACTAGGTTCTTTGTCACATTTGTCACAATTATAATTAATTAATGGTCTGTTTTAGAGGTTGAAAACTTTTCTGTAAGGTACATATAGTAAATATTGTTGGCTTTGTTGGCCATACAGTTTCTGGTATAGCCACTCAGCTCTGCTATTGCAACAAAAAGCCAGCTATAGACAATATGTAGAATGGGTATGACTATAAACTTTGGCTCGTGTGCTATAGTTACCAGCTTCTGATCTCTTTCTTTTCTACCTTAAGTGTCAGCTCCATGGGCTGTATCTATCTTGTTTATCATTGTCTCTTCTCCTTTGTGGCTAGCACTGAGCTCTGCATATAATGAGCTGTATTGCAGCAGCATGACAGAGAGTATGTATATGTGCAGTAAAATGAAGAGCACTACTAACATGCTTTTCTTGTCAACATTTTTGCTCACTCAAAGAGTGTACAGTATACTTCTCTATATAGAATTTAATCAAGATAATTTTCAAGACTCTAGAAGACATATTCAGTGTATCCATATCTTAGATGGAGCTCTTTTTTTTTTTTTAGCTAAAATACAGCTTTTTAAGAGGACTATGCTTGGGAACATTAGATTAAAAAAAGTCAGAGTGGAAACCCTGTGTTTCATTGCCATTCTACCCTCAAATAGTGCCCCATCTGAAAATCTCTCCAAGCTGCTTTTCTATTCTGTCTCCAGTAGCTAGTTTAGAACTTTAGTATCTCTTATCAGAACTTTTGGTAGTAGTAATAAATACAATAATAGCCAAATTAATTGGTCACATTTTGTGCCCGGTACCTTATTTACTATTTAGGTTAACAAGTTAACCCAACTTTGTCCATTTTACTACTTAAGTGGCTTTTTAGTTGACATTTCCCTATGTCTCACCGTGTCTTTTCCATACCTACAAAATTTTGTTTTTGTTTTTGGAGATAGGGCTGGCCTTGAACTCATAATCCTCCTTCCTCTGCCTTGAAAGTGCTGGAATTACAGGTTTGTATCACCATGCAAAGCCCAAGATTTTCTTTCTGAAACACACATCTAATCATTTTCATCTTCTGCTTAAATTTTTAGCTGGTGCCTCTCCATCAACAGGATCTGGTTCAAACCTTCCTTTCAATCCTTACTCTGTCTTTTAGATAAGGTTTTTAAAGGCACATCCAGTTAATTGCTGTTGACAACTATATGAATTTCTTTCACTCTTCTTTCTTCTTGTATATACTGTTTCCTCTGTCTTGTGTACTTTCCTCTCTCTACTGGAAAGCTGTTTCTGTTTGTACATAGATACCATCTTTCCTCTGCAGATTTACTTGACTTGCTCAGACAATGTTAGTTGCTTTCTTCACTGTCCTGCCATAGCATTTGTCTTACTATGTTTTGTGCTATGATAGCAGAATGCCACTGACTGGATAATTTATAATGAACAAAAATGTATTTGGCTTATGGTATACATGCTGGAAAGTCCAAGATTGAGGGGCCATATCTGGTGAAGGTTTTATTGCTGCATCATCCCATGGTGGAAGGCAGAGTACATGTGCAAGAGGAAAGAGGTAGGAGAGGAAGGGAACTGAACTCAGCCTTTTATCAGGAACCCTCTCCTGTGATGATGATATTAACCCATTTGCCCTTGTGACCCAATCATCTCTTAAGGGTCCTACCTCTTAACAGTATTGTATTAGGGATTAAATTTCCAACACATGATCTTTGAGGGGTATGTTCAAACCATGGCAACATTATAGAATGCTTCTGGTAGTTGTAAAATTGCTGTATTGTAATTATTCATTTTACATGTGTGTATTTTCATTGAATTTTGTTTCTCATGGGAATCCATTATTTATTTTTCTTTACCATGCAAATATCGGTTATGTAGACTCATAATGTTTATGACAAAAGGGCATATTTATGGTTCCTAGTTGATATTTCTAACCAATTTCACCCTTTTTATTGCTGTAAAACAATTAGGGGTTATCCAGTAGATTAGAGAAAGAGATGATGTCACTATATCATCTTGGGTTTCAAAAATACATGTTGTTACCTTACTGAGGTTTTTCTAGGTTTTTTTTTTTTTTTAATTACTGGGGAATAAACTCAGGGCCTTGTACTTGTTAGGCAGGTAGTGCTCTACTACTTGAGTCATGCCCCCAGCTCTCTCACTGAGAATTTTGAGGAAGGATCTTTTGTCCTAGCTCCCATAACATGCCAGAAATTCAGCAGATGTCTATTCAGCTTCAACAAATTAATTTTACCCCTGCTTGCTTTCACTACTATACCACCCTCTACTGAACAAAATGTAGATGACCAACAGTCTCTCTTTAGAATGAATATTTGTGTGGCTGTATTTTAGAACAAGGGTACTGGAATCCTGGTCCCAAGAATTGCTGTATTCTGAGAGGTATCAAAACCCTGGGATCATCCAGCTCAACAAATATTTATAAAAGATTGTTGTGTGCACAGTACTATTTGAGGTGCTTCTAGTGGGGAAATAGGAACAGTAAGCATGTAAATAAATAATTTCAGTAGTTTGGTGGGCTACAGTAAAGAATTTGGATTTTATTTTGGTTGCAACAAGAAGCCATTATAGGGTTTTAGTCAAATAGAATGGTGAGATTTTAATTTGGGGGAGGCAGTACTGGGATTTGAACTCAGAACTTGTGCTTGCTCGGCAGGGTTCTACCCCTGGAGACACACCTCCACCTCTTTTTGCTTTTTCAGTTATTTTTTTTAGAGAACCTGTATAGATAGCTGTACAAAGAAGTTTCATTATGACATTTCCATACATTAATGTAGGGTACTTTGATCAAATTCATCCCCTCTATTACTCTTTCATAGTCCCCTCTCCCCCTTTTAAATGATTTTAATGTGTTTCTTTATTCTATTTTCACACAGGCGTATAAAGTACTTGGATCATGTTCATCCCCACCTTTACCTTCCCCTTCTGGATGATTCCTACCCCAAAACATCCCCCCACCCTGTTTTACACTCATGTTATTCTTGTTTATTTCTTAAGTCTAGATTCTTCATATGAGAGAGAACATGTAATATTTGTCTTTCTCAGTCTGGCTTATTTAAGTTAACATAATGATTTCCACTTCCATCCATTTTCCTGCAAATGACAATTTGCTTATTTGTTGAGATGGGCCTTGATAACTTTTTGCCCAGTCTGGCCTCAAACCTTGATCCTCCCATTCTCTGCCTCCCTAGTACTTTGAATTAAAATTTTAATTTTGTCTTAAAAATACTGCTCTAGGGTTGGGGGCATGGCTCATGTGGTGGAGTATCTAGCAGCTATAAGGCCCTGAGATTAAATGCTAGTACTTCGGGAAAAAACCATGTTGCTGTGTTGTCTGTATGGACGGAGTCCAGTTAAACTGCTAGTATGCTGGTCATAGGATTATAGCAGTGGAAATGATGAAAATTAGTCATAGTTGGAGGTAGAACTAACAAGATGGACATACTGAATCAAAGATGACTTCAAGATTGGAGCCTGCATAATTTGAGTGTTATCTTACTGAAATGGGAAATGATCTGGGACAGAAAATCTGCAGTTCTCTTGGCCATATGAAGTTTGACGCTTACTCCACCTTCAGACAAATACTCATTGAACATGTAAAATCTTCTGTGCTGAATATGGAGAGATGCATACGAAAGACAAAATCTTTGCCCTCACAGGGTTTACCCTGAAGTAGAGAAGGCCAACATACAGCAAGTAAATAGAAAGCATAATACCTGGTAGTGGTACGTTCTATGAAGTAAAATAAGACGAGGTAGGAAGAAAGAATGATTGCAAAAGTTTAGATATTTCCCACTTTGTTCAAAAGGTTCTTTGACTACATATATACTTTAGTTGCTCTATTATGTACCTATGTATACATCTGTCACAGTAGAATTTGATGTAGACTGTGCTTGATATGTAGCTGAAGTAAATCTTAAAATCTGTTCCATGTTCAAAAATATTTTCCCATTGTCTTTTTATCTTCAGATTATAATTTAGAGCAGTTGTCACCCCAATATGTTGACTTGTTTTTTAAACAGGTATCGACTAAGGAACAAAAAGATCAATGCAACTGTAAGAACGTTTCCTCTTCTGAATAAAGTTGGTGTAAACAACACTGTCACAACCACAGCCGGGAATGTCATTTCTGTCATAGGAAGTACTGAAACATCCGGAAAAATTCCAAGTTCAAATGGAATTTCAAATGTAGAAAACAGTGTTTCCCAGCTAATCCCACGTAGTACTGACAGTACATTAAGAGCTCTGGAAACTGTGAAGAAAGTGGGGAAGGTTGGCACTAATGGTCAGAATGCTACTGGGCCCTCTGCAGAGTCTGTAACTGAAAAGTAGGTATTAAGTGAAAATGATTATATGAGTTATTTATCCTTTTTAGAAATGCCACAGTATTTTTTTTATCCTGAGGAACACAATTAGAATTTTTATGCAGAATGCTTCATGTAGTAGAAAAAGCACTAAATAGAAAGAAATTTTTGAGTTCTAATTCTGGTTCAGCATCAGAATATGTAAACATGGAAAATTACTTCAACTCTTAAGTTTTGTTTTCTTCAACCCAGAATTAGGTTTTTCATAATGTATTTCCTTGAACTTCAGGATTGATTCCTTACAAGTGCCAAGAAGGAATTAAGTACAAATCTAAACAGGTGAGAGGTTTGAACCTCTAGCCCTATTTCAAAGTACAATAATGCATAACTAAGAGGAAATCTTTGGAGCCACATTCTCCTTTTTTATTTTTGTTTTGTTTGAGACAGTCTTGCTATTTAGCCCAGGCTGGCCTTGAACCTTGCAGTCCTCTCCCTCAACCTCCTTAGTAATCGGATTATAATCGTGCCCCAGCACACTTGTCAGGCCATACTCTTGGGACTCAAATTGTGGCCTACTTTTTTCTTAGCTGTTTGATCTTAAGCCAGTTGTTTAATCTTTTTTTCCTTCATTTACTCACCATAAAATTAGAATATCTACTTCATGGTTTGGGAATTTAGCTTTGTGGTAGAATGCTTGTCTGGCATGCTTGAAACCTTGGGTTTGAAGAATATTTACTTCATGTATTGGTTGTGAGAATTAAATGAGTTAATGCTGCAGTGTACTTTGAACAGTGCCTGCCAGATAGTAAGCACTCAGTAAATATCTGCTTTATTATTATCGTCATTTTTATTGTTGAGTGACAGCATAAGATTTCATTTGGCAAAGAAGGGGTTTTTTTTGCCTTAAGAAAAAAGTTTTAAGTGTATTAAAATTGAGCAATGAAACCTGTTGAAATTTTTCTAAGAAGTGGGGAGGGGTGATGAAAGAAGGGGTGAATCTAATTAAGGTACATTGTAAGTACATATGTAAATATCACAACAAAACCCCCCTGTATAACTAATATTTGCTAGTAAAAATTAAAAAACATACAAACAACAGAATAGATAACATAAACCAAAAAAAAAGAAAAAGAAAAAAGTTTAAAATTTTGCAGATGATCTGAAAAGTTACTTCGAATTCTAAAATCTGTTCAGATTTTGTTGCCCATAAATAGTCTGTCAGTTCCTATTATATGCCTACTGTGCAAAAACATGCTTGGTACACAGTGAACTCCTATTGACTTCATTTAATTGATGAAGGATAGGTTAGCAGTATCACTCTCTGTTTTTATAATTTAGTATGTAATGGGGGAAATTGTTCATTAAATCATCCTTATGATACTCACTGGGAGAGATTTTAGAAAAGACCTGTCAAAAACACTATTTAGCAAATGTTACTTATGTACTCATTTCAGACTTCGTTTTTGTCACTGTTAGAAATTCATGAGACATAGATATCTCTGCCTTTAAGGGATTTATGCTGCTATAAATGTGTGAGAGACCATATTTACACAAATGAAGTACACCAGAGGTAGATTGAATGATAGGAAATGTTATGTTGCTGGAGAAGTATGGAGTTTTCAGGAAATCAAAATCCAGCATAAAATGCATTAAATTTGTTGGCAAATATATGGAATTTTGAGACAGCCTTTTAGAATTGAAGATTTATGTTAGTGACTAATATAAGATTACATAGACAGACACCAGATTATGGAGAACTTATATTGTATATGTTTCGGAAATGAGTTTTTGAAGAGTTTTGGCAAGGTAATATTGTATAGTGTTTATTTTCAAATAGTAGGCTATATTATTCAACCATTTAAAAAAAAAAAGCAAGAACTACTATTGTATGACACAATGTGGACAAATCTTGGAAACGTGATGCTTATTGAAAGAAGGCAGATACAGAAGGCCACTTGATTCTGTGTATGTGAAATGTCCAAAATAGGCAAATCCAAAGGGACAGTAGATGAGTGGTTGCTAGGGGCTAAGGCTGGAGTGGGAATGGGGAATGAATGCTGATGGATATGAGTTTCTCTTGAGGTAGGTAAAAATATTTCAGAATTAGGTGATAGGTGGAAAGTCTTGTGGGTGTACGAAAAGCCAATGAATTGCACATGTCAAAATGTGATTGTAGCTCAATTTTTATTTTATCTTTTTTCTTCTTTTTGTTGGCCATCAATCCCCGGGCTTTGAAAGATGGACTAGTAGGAAAAGGTCTAATGATAAATAAATCTAAATATGTCATTTATTCTTTTAAATATTGTAGATCACCTGATATATTCCAAATGATGTTGCTAAGGAAAATGAACTAGATATACTCTCTGTCTTTAAGGGTTTTTCTGTATAGTTTAGGAAACAGACATGTAAGCATATATTATAAAATATACTCTGAAAGGTTCTGTAATGGAGTTTATTCCAAGTGTTAATGGAACACATGAAAAAAAGATAGCTAATTTTGGGGGTGGTATTGTCAAAGGCTTATAGACATGAAGTAATGACACATAAGCTAGTTCCAGAAGTGTGGCTAGGAAAGCAGGAAGATCCTGTGGTTAGAGGATGCACCATAGGCAAAATCATAGAGGTGCAAGAATAGAAACATAGCCTAGAATCCTAGAAATCTTCTAAGATAAAACTAGAAGCTCCCTGGCTAGGATATAACTAAAAGGTTACTTTGTCACTAAGTCTGAATGTTTTAGATAATTTACCTGATTTCATGAGGCTACGAATATTTACCTTGCCAAGAATTTTCATGCCTGTTTCCTGATATGTCTAAGAATCTGCAGTTTCAAAGTTATTAATCCAAATTTATGATCTATAACCTATAGATCATAATAAATCTATAATCTATACTATAGTTATAATTTATAATCTATAAAGAAGGACTAGATAATCTATATTTAGCATTTAGCTTTGTGCCTGGAATGTACTCCATAATTGCTCTGTAAATGTTAGTTGTTATTGTTAATCATTATTCTGTTGCCTCGTTTTAACTTTTTTAAAGAATAAGCACAATCCTAAAATGTCTTTAAACCTTAAGTCAAGATATTTGTACCTATTAAATTATCCATGTTCTTTAGTTATTTTCTATGTTTTATTACACAGTTACACATAGAATTAAACACTTGCTGAACTAAACTGATGTGCAACCCATGTAGCTTGTTGTTTATATTCTAGTTTGAAAAAGACTTTTCTAGTTTGAGAAAAACCCTCTAATCTGGTTGGGATGCAATATATTGAATTCCTGCATACTTAACAAGAGTATTTTCTTGAATTACCACATACTTAAAGCTCTGTCAAAGTTTGAATTGGACCACTGGTGTTTAACTCAGGGCCTTGTGCTTGGTAGGCAGGTATGCTACCACTTGAGCCATACCCTTCACCCAAAGTTTGACTCTTTGAAAGGGAGTAAGAAAGTCATGATAAGAGTCTGTGGGGCTGGTTACTTGGTTACTCAAGTGAGAAAATTCTTGTGTGTGTGTGTACAAAAAAAAGAAGTAAAAGGTTTGGGTATTTTACATCTGCTTAATGCATTTCATTGGTATTTCATATACCCAACTGATATTTACTAAGAGCATACTGAGTGTCAGGAGGTACTTTATTTATCAGCAAATGCTTACTGAGTGCCTACTGCTTGTCAGGAATTGTTCTAGCTGCCAGGGATATAAAGAACAACTCTTTCTTACCGTGTCATTTTCTCTTTGTCCCAAGGAATTCTACTGGTGTACTATAATGTTTATCTTGGAACTTATTGAACAGGAGTTTTTTTTTTCTAATGGGAAAAACCTTTGTTTAGAGAATGGGTATAAAGGAATTGCTAAATAAATGCCTGGGCTTTGTTTTTATTTCCTGTTGCCCTCACTGGGAAATGAGATCTCTTACTATGATCTTGTAAATTAGCAGTGTACAATGACAGTTAAATTGCTTGCTTTATTTGTCACTGTGGAGTGTTTTTCACTTGTTTTGTTTTTTAGAGGCACTGGGGTTTGAACTCAAGACACTGATTGCTCCTGCTAGCAGGCACTCTGCCATTGAGCCACCTCTCTCGTCCTGTTTTGCCCTGGTTATTTTGGAGATAGGATCTTGGTTTTTGCCCTGGCCGGCCTAGATCGCAGTCCTGTTGTACACTTCCCACTGTCACTAAAACATCAGGCACATGCCACCATGCCCAGCTTTTTTCCTTTGAGATGGGGACTTATGAACTTTTTTTGCCAGACTGGCATGGAACTGTGATCCTTGGGATGACAGGCACATGCCACTGTGCCTGGGTATTGGTTGAGATGAGGTCCTGTGAACTGTTTGACCCATCTGGCCTTGACCATGCTTCCTGAGTAGTTAGGATTGCAAGAGTGAGACACCAGTGCCCAACTTTGCAGGGTTTTCTATGAATTGTTTGCTATATAATTTTAAGAAACGTTTCTTCTGAGGAAGAATTTACCATCATAGTAATTATCCTTTTCCTTTTGTTAAATTATCTCTTCAGTAAAATTGGTTCTCCACCCAAGACTCCTGTAAGTAACATAGCAGCTACCTCAGCTGGGCCCTCTAATGTTGGAACAGAGCTGAATTCTGGACCTCCAAAATCCAGCCCATTTCTAACTAGAGTACCAGTATATCCTCAGCATTCTGAAAACATTCAGTATTTTCAAGATCCAAGGACTCAGATACCCTTTGAGGTCCCACAGTACCCACAGGCAGGTAAGTACTTTTAGGTAATGCTAAGAAAGTAATTTGTAACATGAATCATTTATATGTATCTAGAATGTCTACATTAAAAAAATTAACTCCTTGTGCTGTATGACCCATACGTTTTCTTCCTTCCCCAAGAATTTGTGGTTCTAGATACTAGTATATATTTTTTCATTAACATATGTGTTGTGCATACACATGGGAGTACTCAGTGATAAGGTAACTAAAAGGGATGGTTAAAATGTGAGCTTATACATCATCCTAACAGAAGAGCAACACAACTGAAAAAGTGACAAGACAAAGGAAAAGGACTTTGAGTTTCTGGGTGGCAAATTATGGGAAGCTAAATAAATGGAACTATTAGGAAGTAAGGGCTAGTCAGTAATGCTTGTTGAGTGATCCTTTTCAGGCTAAAGTTGCTTGGTGATTAACTTCTGTTCTTCCAGGTAACCAGGGGAGAGGAAACTTATTTATAAATGTTATGTGTTATATTTAGGCAAATAAGAGATCAAAGATCTTTTCCTTATTGCTGCTTCTTTTCACTTGTCTTCTGCTAAAAAAGGAAATAATAAATGTTTGAGATATGCTTAACTTCATTTAAATATTCTGTGACATGCACATATATCAAACATTTGAAATCCTTCTAGCTTTTTTATACTTTATTTATTTATTTATTATTTTTCGGGGGACTGGGGTTTGAACTCAGAGCCTTTCACTTGCTAGGCAGGCACTTGACCACTTCAGTCACTCTACCAGCCCTCCCTCTGGTTTTTTAAAATATATGTAGTAAATAATTATTATCTATAGTCACCCTACTGTGAAATTGCACACTAGACCTTATTACTCCTACCTAGTATAATTTAGTACTCTTTGATCAACTTTTCTACATTCCTCCCTCCTCCCTGTTCTTCACCTCTGCTAACCACTATACTACTCTCAACTGCTATGAGATGAACTTTTTTAGATTCTTCATAAGTGAGATCAAGTGGTACTTCATGTGCCCAGCATATATTCACTTAACATAATGATCTCCAGTTTTGTCCATTGTCAGAAATGAGAGGATTTTCTCATTATGACTGCACAGTATTCCATTGTATATATGTGTTAATTTTTTAAAAATCTATTCATCAGTTGATGAATACTTAAAATGTTTCCAATTTTACCTTATTTTGAGTTATGCTGCAATGAATACGGCTATGCACATGTCTCTTGCATACGCTGATTTCTTTTCCTTTGGATATATACCACATAGTGGGAATTCTGGATCATCTGGTAGTTCTATTTTTTATTTTTTTGAGAAGCCTCCATATTATTTTCTATAACAGCTCTACTAGTTTACATTCCCACCAACAGTATACAGGAGTTCCCTTTTCTCACATTCCTGTGTTTGTCTGTGGGTGTGATACTGGGGTTTGAATTCGGGGCTTGGAGCTTGCTAGACGGGCATGTATCACTTAAGCCACACCTCCAGTTCTTTTTTCCACACTCTTGCCAGCAATTTTTTTTTTCCTCTTTTCTTTTTTGGTGCTGGCAATCAAGCCCAGGGCCTCGTACCTGCTAGGCAAGGGCTCAGCAGTTGTGATTGTGATGTTTTTGATAATAGTCATTCTTATGGGAATGAGGTGATACCTCATTGTAATTTTTATTTGTAATTTTTTCCTGTTAATTAGTGATGTTGATCATTTTTTCTTAAGCCTATTGGCTGCCTATATGTCTTCTTTGAGAAATACTTATTTAAACCAGGCATTGGTGGCTCACACCTGTAATCCTAGCTAGTCAGGAGTCAGAGTTCAGGAGGATCGCAGTTTGAAGCCAGCCCAGGCAAATAGTTTGCGAGACCCTATCTCAAAAAAAAATCATCAAAAAAATAAAAAGTGCTGGTGGAGTGGCTTAAAGTGTAGGCTCTGAGTTCAAGTCCCAGTACTGCCAAAAAAAAGAAAGAAAGAAAGAAATACTTATTTCTTTCACACACACATATATTTCTTTCTTTCATTTTGGTAGTACAGGGGTTTGAACTCAGTTGCTTGTTAAGCAAGCACTCTACCACTTAAGCCATACCCCCAGTCCTTATGCTTTAGTTATTTTTGAGATAGGATCTCCCTTTATGTCCAGACCAGCTTGGACTGCAGTCCTCCTGTGTAGCTGGAATGGGAGGCGTATACCACCATGTCCATCCTTTATTGGTTGAGATGGGGGTCTCATAAATGTTTTGCCTGGGTTGGCCTTGAACCCAATCTCCACCTCCCAGGAAGCTAGGATTACAGATTCAAATCACCATGCTCACTTATTGTGTGTATTTTTAATTGAGCGATTTGTCTTGTTGCTATTGAGTTTTTTTAGTGTTTTATATATTCTGGATATTAAATCTTTGTCATACTTAAAGTTGGCACATATTTTCTCCCATTCTTTAGGCTGTCTCTGCGGTCTGATGAGTGTTTCCTTTGCCAACTTTTTTTAGTTTGATGCAATCTTTTTCTATTTTTTTGTGTTTCTTTACTGTGTTTTTGGGGTATTTTCCAAAACTTCTTGCCCATTCCAATGTCCTGAAGCTTTTCCCCTATGTTTTCTTCTAGTAATTTCGTAGTTTCAGGTGTTGCATTGAAGTCTTTAATGCATATTGAGTTGATTATTGTAATTGGGTAGAGATGGGGATATTGTTTCATTTTTCTGCATTTGGATACTAAAATACCAATAGTTTTAAGGTTGTCATTTGTAAGAATCAAATATAAAGTCCATAATTGACCTTCATGAAGTGGTATGCAAAATGTAGAGTTTATGTATGCTTATGTACACTTTTGGAAAGAAAAACGAACAACATAGAAATTTTGAAAGAGGTCTTTAACCTCTGCTCCCAAAGTAGTTAATAAGAATCAATGATGTAACTAACTACTTAAACCCAAAGTTTGTAGCAGAAGATGTGCTAAAAGCAAAATTTATCAGCCATCTTTTAATATCTCTGTTATGTGTTTTTAAGGAGCAGTTTAAGTATTGAATAGAAATGATTTTTTAATAATGCTATCTTGAAATATGTAGCTACTCTGTAGGGGTAAAGATAAATTCTAATTATATTTTCTCATATTAAAGTCTGCTCTAGATTTAAACCATTATAAAATGTTGGATTTTACTAAGATTACATTAAATATTCCTCTTTCCAATTTTCAAGGATACTATCCACCACCTCCAACAGTACCAGCTGGTGTGGCTCCCTGTGTTCCTCGCTTTGTGAGGTCCAATAATGTTCCAGAGTCCTCCCTCCCACCTGCTTCCATGCCATATGCTGATCATTACAGTACATTTTCCCCTCGAGATCGAATGAATTCTTCTCCCTACCAACCTCCTCCTCCGCAGCAGTATGGGCCAGTTCCTCCAGTACCTTCTGGAATGTATGCTCCCGTGTACGATAGCAGGCGCATCTGGCGCCCAGCTATGTACCAACGAGATGACATTATTAGAAGCAATTCTTTACCTCCAATGGATGTGATGCACTCATCTGTCTATCAGACATCTTTGCGGGAAAGATATAACTCATTAGATGGATATTATTCAGTGGCTTGTCAGCCACCAAGTGAGCCCAGGACAACTGTGCCTTTACCAAGGGTAAGTGGAAATGGAAATAGAAATGTTAATGTAGTGTAGTAGTTAAAATTTAGCCTGGTGCCTGGAGCCAAACCAACCAGACTTGTGACTCTTCCTCTTACGGTTTGACTTACAGAAGTTACTTGATCTTCCTATGCCTCTGTTTTTTCATTTGTTTGATGGAATTGATAGTGGCAGCTACCTCAAGGCATTGTGAGAATTAAATTTAAAAGTTCTTAGAACTGAACCTGATACATAGTACTGCTCATGAGATGCTATGTTTGGATAGGCCACTGATAGGAATATTGAAAAAAAAAGGAATCTAAAATATGATTTTTTTCAGTATCTCCACATACATACAAATGCCTTTTCTAAACTAGAAAAGCAAGTGCTCAGAGTTTAATTCATTTGAATTAATTCACATCAGTTAAATAAATATTAACCTTTTTGTTGAAGGTTATGTAGGAAAGAGTAGGGCAACTTCCCAGTTTATTTTTGTCCCAATAATATCATAAATTGTTTGCATTATATTCACAGAGCATAATTAAATTTATTCACCACTCCCTAGTTGATGAACATTGCTTCTTTTTTTCCCCTCTTAGGAACCTTGTGGTCATTTGAAGACCAGTTGTGAGGAGCAGATAAGAAGAAAGCCAGATCAGTGGGCACAATACCACACTCAGAAAGCACCTGTCTCTTCAACGCTTCCTGTGGCAACACAGTCACCAACACCACCTTCTCCTCTATTCAGTGTAGACTTTCGCACAGATGTAAGAAAGGTTTTAATCACTTATTTTTGCAGAGATAGGTCAAACAGCTGACGTTAAAATTATTTATTCAAACCAAGATTACCTAGTTAGGGTATTTTGTAATGGTGTGTTATGCAGTTGAATTTAGTTCTGCAAACAATGTGTATATAAACATTATGGCTAGGTGTTATGAGATCCTGAAGATCATCAAGACATAGTCCTTTACCAAGAATTCAAAATATTTCTAGTAGTGTAATTAATTTTATTTTTATTTAATAATTTAAATTTTGATAGTACTGAGGCTTGACCTTGAGGCCTTGCATGTGCTAGACCACTTGAGCCACACCACAAATTATATATATGTATGTTAGTTTTGTTTTGTTTTGATTGTTTTGGTGGGACTGGAGTTTAAACTCAGGGCAGTCCATTTTGCTCTGGTTATTTTGGACATGGGGTCTTGCAAACCTTTGGCCTGGTCTGGACTCCAACCACAATCTCAGCCTCCCTAGTAGCTGTGATTACAGTCGTGAGCCACCAGCAACTATCTCTGAATAGTATTTTTTTTTTAATGTTTTTGTTTGTTTGGTTCTGGTGCTTGGGAAAGAACCCAGAGCTTTGCACACACTAAGTACATGTTCTACCACATGCTCATGCTAAGCACATGCCCAGCTCCAGTTTGCACATGCTCAGCGTGAGTATGGCCCTGGATTCTATCCCCCAGCACCACCAAAAATAAAAATAAGATACCTACTCCTTATTGAGTGCAATGTTGTTTTATTTAATTCTCACAAAAACCCTAGGGGGTAGGTATTCTTCATATTTTATGGCTTAGGAATCTTACTCAGTTAAGAAGTTGAAGTAATTGGCCCAACATCTTTCAGTCTTTAATCCCTGGAGTTTGAATCATAGTCTAAGGCATTTTTGCCCTGCTTCACTAGACAGAGAAGTGCCTGCTGTATTATTTCTCTACTTATATTACTGTTAATTATTGTTTTGGGTATTACAAAATGAGTCTCTATGCCAGGATGATTTCAGTTTAATTTGTTTTTAGTACTATTATATTTAGAGAAAATAATTTATTTTATATGCACCTTTTGGTTTACTCTCTACCTCCAATGATTCTGATATAAAAATTTTTAAATCCCTTTATTATGAAAATTTTCAAACATACAATAAATGGTGAGAATAGTATAATAAATCCCATTTATCCATCCAGGCATGGTGGGATACACCTGTAATCCCAACACTTGGGAGGTCAAGGCAAGAGGATCTTTAAGTTTGAAGCCAGCCTGGACTACATGTCAGACAAACATTCCAGTCACTACCATTGCCTTGCTTCCACAATTATCAGTTTAGCCAAACTTGTTTCAAGTACTTGTACCTCTTTTTCCTGTTGAATTATTTTGAAGTAATCCTAGATACTAGATACACCTTTTCATGGATATGTTTCAATAAAGCCTTGAATTTTTTTAAGTAGATAAGTTCATCTCAACAAATTTAGACTTACTCAAAGAAGGTAAACAGCTTTGCAACAGTGACAGAGATGCCACTTGCTTGACTAGGAAAGTATGTTTTCAGTTATATATTATGCTTTAAGAAATGAGGAGTTGACTGAGTGCCTCAAGTAGTAGAGCACCTGCCTCGCAAGCATGAGGCCCTGAGTTCAGACCCCAGTACCACCAAAAAAAAAAAGAAATGAGTGTTTCCTGTAATTCCATTCTGTTGGGCAAGGCATTTAATCTTTCTGTTCCTGAGTTTCCTTATCTATATAATTACTAAGTTAGATTTAATGATTCTTACAACTCTAGTATTTTGGCACTATAGTATTTCTTATTGTCCCTTTAAAATGTATTTTCTTCTTCTTGTAGCTTCAGAGCTACCTTTGAATTCCTTTTGTTTTTTATTTAAGAACAAAATAGCTTTTCTTTTACCGGTTATTCTATTTTCACATTTTTTTTCTTAAAGAAAATTATAGACTCCTCTAAGGCACAGACTATGATCTGTGTCTCTGTTTATCTGTGTATTTGTTTTAAGCTTTTTTCATTTTTTTAGAGCATCCCATACCATGTTAGCCTATTAAAAATATTTGTTGACTGGTTTTGATAGTATGAGTCAGGAATGTGTGTGTGTGTGTGTGCACGCATGCACGCACACACACATTTTTGAGATAGGGTCTCAGAAGTCATGCTGATTTTTATTGTATTGCATGAATATTATTTATTGTAACTGTTTTGTATTATTTATAGAATTTAAAGTTCAGTATGAAGGCTTGTAAATTCTATAATCGTTACTCAATATTAAGTATAAGGTTAAGCTTATAAACTTAAGTTTTATGTTTCATACTAATTGGCCTTTTTTTTTTTTTTCTTTCTAATCAGTTCTCTGAGAGTATGAGTGGTACAAAATTTGAAGAAGATCATCTTTCCCATTATTCTCCCTGGTCTTGTGGCACTATAGGCTCCTGTATAAATGCCATCGATTCAGAGCCCAAAGATGTAATTGCTAATTCAAATGCTGTGTTAATGGTATGATTTTGCTGGGGTGAGAGAACTGGAGTGGGGAAAATAATGCTGTTGACTCAAATTTTGAATGAATGCTTTCATCTTCATATCGTTGCTATATAACTCATCTGTAACCAGAAGTTTTTGTAAGTCAGATAATACAGTTGTTGGATTATCATTAAGATCTAAAGCTACTGCTAAATTTATCAAAAAAAGCTAATTACCTGTCTTTTATAACATTTTTATTAGCGTATACTAGTTGATTAGTTGTACAGAGGGAATTCACTGTGACATTTACATATGTGCTTACAATGTATCTTGATTAGATTCATCCACCCATAATTTCTTCCTTATCTCCCTTCCCTGCTCCTTAGAAAATTTCAACAGGTTTCATCATTGTATTTTTATACATGTGTACAAAGTACATCCACCATATTCACCCTCCTTCACACTCTGTGTTACACTTCCTTTTCCTGTGGTACCAACTCTCAGAGACATCCTGTTTTCCTTTCTTATCCTTCATTTATTAAAGTATATATTGATTGCTCAAGGGATTTTGCACGTGCAGACATTTTACTTTCCATTTTGTTGTTGATTTGGCCATACTGGGATTTTAACTCAGGACTTCATGCTTGTTAGGGCAGCGCTCTACCACTTGAGCCACTCCCCCAGCCCATACATTGTACTCTAAGCAGATTAACCCTCTCTATTGTTTACTCCTTCTCTGTCATCCTGCTCCCCTATTATTCAGCACCTTCAGCGCATTTCATTATACCATCTTCATACACAGATGAAATGTATTTCAATATTATTTACTATCATCCTCTTTTCATCTCCCACTGTTCCCCTCAGACAGACCCAATATTATAATCTCTCTTTCTCATACACATATATGTGTATAAGATCATATATATATTTATGTATACCTTGATCTTTGAGGTTTAATTTCCACATATGAGGGAAAATATGTGACCTTTGTCTTCTGAGTCTGACTTACTTTGCTTAATCCAGTTTCATCCATTTATCTGCAAACAACATAATTTCATTCTTCTTTACGGCTGAATACTACTTCATTGTGTATGTATACCACATTTTCTGAATCCATTTGTCAGTTATAGAGCATCAAAGCTATTTAAAAAGTTTGGCTGTTGTGAATAGTGCTTCAATAAACATGGGTGTGCACTTGTATCCTGGCTTATATTCCTTCACGTATATACACAGGAGTGTTACCACTGGATCATATGATACGTGTAGTTTTTTGAGGAACCTCCATAATGCTTTCCATACCAGTTGCACTAATTTTCACTCTCCCCAGTAGTGGACATGGATTGGTTCCTTCTTTCCACATCCTCTCCTGCGTTTGTTCTTATTTATGGATTGATGGTAGCCGTTCTGACTGGAGTGAATTGAAATCTCAATGTTATTTTGATTTGCATGTCCTTTTTGGCCAAGAACCCTGAGCATTTTTTCATGTATTTATTGGTCATTTGTACTTTTGAGAATTGTCTGTTCAGTTAATTTGCCCATTTATTCATTGGGTTGTTGATTCTTTGTAGGGTTAATTTTTTGAGCTCTTTGTACATACTGGTTATTAATCCCTTATCAGATATATAGCTGGCAAAGATTTTCTTTTATTCTGTATGCCGTCTCTTCAGTCTGGAGACTGTTTCCTTTACTGCTTTTTTTTTTATGCACTCCCATTTGTCAATCCTTTGTATTCGTTGCTGAGCTATTGGAGTTCTATTCAGAAGTTATTGCTTATGCTTATGTGTTCTAGTATTTTTCCTGTTCTTTCCTGTATTAGTTTCACAGTTTGAGGTCTCGCATTAAGATCTTTAATCCACTTTGAATTGATGCTAGTACAGAGTGAGAGACTGGAATCTAGTTTAAATCTTTTACAGGTGGATATCCAGTTTTTCTAGCACCATTTGTTGAAGAAGCTATCTTTACTCCAACACATATTTTAGGCTCCCTTGCCAAAAATAAAATGGCTGTATTTGTGTAGGTTTTGTGTTTGTGTTTTCAATTCTATCCCATTGGTCTTTATATCTGTTTTGTGCCAGTAGCATGCTGTTTTTATTACAGTGACTCTGTAGTATAGTTTGATGTCAGGGATTGCGATACCTCCTGTGTTCTTTTTTGCTCAGGATTGCTTTGGCTGTTCAAGGTCTTTTATGCTTCCATATGAACTTTAGGATTGACTTTTCTACCTGTGAAGAATGTCATTGGAACTTTGATGGGGATTGCATTGGTCATATAGATTTGCTTTTGGTAATATAGTCACTTTCATAATAATATTGATTCTGCCAATTCATGAACATGGGATGTACCTCCATCTTCTAATGTCTTCTTTGGTTTTTTTCTTCAGTGATTTATAGGTCTTTCACTTCCTTCCTTAAATTTATTCCTAGGTATTTGATGCTGTCATGAATGGTATTGTTTTCCTGATTTCTTTCTTATTCTGTTTATTGTTGATATATAGAAATGCTACTGATTTTTATACATTGATTTTGTATCCTGCTACTTTGCTGACCGTATTTATGAGATCTAAGATTGGGTCTTTTTATCAAGTTTTTCATGTCTTTTAGGTGTAAGAGAATATCATGCCCAAATAGTGATCATTTGACCTCTTCCTTTTATTTTTTTCTCCTGTCTTATTACTCTGGCTAGGAATTCCAGTACTATATTGAATAAGAATGAGGAAAGTGGACACCATTGTCTCATTCCTGATTTTAGAAGAAATGGTTTTAATCTTTCCCCATTTAGTCAATGTTGGCTATAGGTTTTTTATACATAGTCTTTATGATGTTGATGTATGTTGTTTCTGTTCCTAGTTTTTTCAGAGCTTTTATCATGAAAGTGTTTTGAATTTTGTCGAAGACTTTTTCTTCGTCTATTGAGATAATGTGGTTTTTTGTCCTTGATTCTGTTTCTGTATTGCATTATGATTACTAATTTGTGTATGTTGTGCCATCCTTGCATCCTTCGAATGAAACCTACTTGATCATGGTGCATGATCTTTTTAATGTGTTGTCAGATTCAGTTTGCAAGTATTTTATTGAGGTTTTTTGTGTCTGTGTTCATCAGGAATATTTGCCTATAACTGCTTTTGGTATTAGGTTCATATTAGCTTTGTAGAATGAGTTTTGTAGTATTCCTTCCCTTTGTAGTTTTTGGAATAGTTGAGGAGCATTCATGCTAGTTATTTGAATTTCTGATAGAATTCATTGGTGACTCAGTGCCTGGGCTCTTCTTTGTTCGGGGGTTCATTATAACTGTGTAAATCTCATTATTCATTAATATACTCATAACTCTGTTTAAGTTGTCCTCTTGCTTCAATTTTAGTGGATCATATTATGAGAAATTTATTTGTTTGTTGATTTTCCAGTTTGCTGGAGTACATATTGTTAAAATATTCCCATATGATCCTCTAAATTTCATTGATTTTTGTTGTAATATCCCCCTTTTCATCTCTGATTTTATTAATTTGGGGCTTTTCGTTTCTTCTTTTGGTTAATTTGGCTAAAGGGTTGTTGATCCTATTTTATCTTTTCAAAGAACCAACTTTTTTGTTTCATTGATCCATGTTAACTGGTCTTTTGGTCTTTTGGTCTCCATTAATTTCTGCTCTAATTTTTATAGTTTCTTTCTGTCTACTACTTTTGGGACTGGCTTATTCTTGTTTTTCTAAGAATTTAAGGTGTATTGTTAGATTGTTGGAAGTCTAATTTTCTGATATTACACTTATGGCTATAAACTTCTCTGCCTTTGCTTGTGTCCCTTAGGTTCTGGTCAGTTGTGTTCTCATTTTCCTTTGAGTCTAGGGATTTCTTCTCTGATTTCTACAGTGGCTTATTGATTAAAAGTGTGTTCGGTCTCCATGAGTATGAATGGTTTTTGTAGTTTTCCTTGCCATTATTTTCTAATTTTATTCCATTATGGTCTATTAGGATATGGGATTATTTCTTTTTTTTGTTGTTGTTTTTGTTGAGATTTGCTTTATGACCTAGGATCTATTTTGGAGAAAGTTCCTTGGACTGGTGAGGAAAAAATGTTTAATCTGTTGCTGTATAAGGAATACTCTGTTATTTTGCCTATTAGGTCCATTTCATCCATGGTATTGTTTACTTCTAGGATATTTTTGCTAATATTTTGTCTGAATGTTTTCCATCTGTTGATGAAAGTGAGTCGTTGGGATCTCCCACTGTTATTGTATCTGGACCTATCTATTCCTTTGTGCTCAGAAGTGTTTGTTTTATGAACTCAAGAGCACTGATGTTTGGTGCATCTGTATTTAAAATTGTTATATCTTCTTGCTGAATTGTTCCTTTTATTAGTATATAGTGATCATCTTTATCTCTTTGACTGATTTAAGCTTAAAATCTGCTTCATCTGATATCAGCAGATTAGTTAATCCCGCTTGCTTTCACTTTCCACACTCTAGCATATCTTTTTCCAACCTTTGATTTTAGTTTGTTTGTGTCTTTGGTTATGAGGTGTCTTTCTTATGGACAAGATTTTTGGATCTTGCCTTTTGATTCAATTAGACAATCAATGTCTTTTGGAGATTTAAGTCCATTTACATTTAGGGTTATGTTTGAGAGGTATTTACTGATTCCTGTGTTTGTACTGCTTTTTTTCCAGGTCAGATCTAGTATTGATTGCTCTTTACTTTTGTCATTTTTGTTTGTCTTCAGGATTTGCTGGTTTGCTGAGTTGATCATACTTGTTGCTTTCCTAGCTCTCATGGGTTCATCAGTTCCCCTTTTGAGTTTTATTCTTTCTTGGCCTCTCATGTTTGTGATTGTTTTTCTTCGTCTTCTATGTGAAATATTCCCATAAGTATCTTATGTAATGCAAGCTTGGTGAACATGAACTGATCCTGGAAGGTCCTTATTTCTCCATTGAGACCAAAGGACAGCTTTTCTGGATATAGTATTCTTGACTGGCAGTTATTCTTTCTCAGAATTATATTGGGCCTACTTTTCTGGATTTTAGAGTTTGTGATAAGAGGCCTGGTGTGATTCTTACATGTTTACCTTTGTATGTAAGCTGGCGGTTTTCTTTTATGCTTTCAGAGTCCTTCCTGTAGTTTTGGCATTTTAATTATGATATGACATGGAGTTCTTTCCTGGTCATGTCTATTTGGAGTTCAGAATGCTTCCTGTCCACGGGTACCTATCATTACATGGCCTTGGTAAATTTTCTGCTATGATTTCATTGAATAAATCTACTGTCCCTTTAGTTTGCATTTCAGCTCCCATGAATTCTTAGGTTTGATCTTGTGATTGTGTCCTAGAATTCTTGTGTGTTGTATTCATAGGTACTCATTTTTTTTTAATGATTGTATGCAACATCTCCTCAATCTTGTCTTCCAATTCTGATATTCTTTGTTCTGTTTGATCTTATCTGCTGATGATACTATCCATTGTGGGTTTTGATTTATTGCTGTTTTCATTTCTAACATTTCTACTTGGGTTCCCTCCCCCCATAATTTCCATTTCCTTGCTGAATTTCTCTTCCACGTTGCTGACTTTTTTGTTCAGGTCTTGAATTGACTTCCTCACTTCATTTATCTGCTTATTTGAATCCTCTTTGAGGTCACTGATCATTTTTAATAGTTGGCTTCTGAAGTCTCTATCAGACTTTTCAACCAATTCATTTTCCTTGGATTCAGTTGTTGAGTTATTGGGGTTTTGGAGGGGAGACATTGCCTTGGTTTTTCACGTTTAAATTTCTATTCTGTGATTTGCACATCTGTTTGGCCAAGCTTTTCTTTTGCTTCCTCACATATGTGGAGAAACTACCATAGTACAAGGTGAACATTTTGAGCCATAATCCAAATATTTGAGTTAAGTATAAACAATTGGAACCCTTATCTGTCTCCCCATTAAGGTTGTGTGAAAACAAAACTCTGGTTTCTACAGGGATCATCTGGGAGCTTACCACTGGTTGAAAGCTATAAGATTGGGAATTGAATAATATAGGAAATGGGCATGGCGAAAGGAGGGGAGTAGGAGGATAGGAAGAAGGAGAGATAGGCAGGAGCTAATAGGACGAGAGCACTGTATAGTTATAACTGAGAAATGGAAAATGACTTGGAAATAAGGAGAAAAAAATTGAGAAATAAAAAAAGATTCTGACAATTAAAAACAAAATTATAAGAAAAAAGAAACAGCCAAATGAAAACAAATTAGAAGAAAAGAATAAAAAGGGTTTATATTTCTTGCTGGAGAGAAGTGTTGATATTCCCTCCATCAGTTCTTTTTGTGGCTGTTAAAGGAGCAGCTTCAGGAGGGCAGATTTTGGTGTGACAGGCCCATTTTGACAGTACAGAGGTTTTTGCAATAAGAAGAAATTCCTAAGCTTAGAATGTAGGCAGGGCCTCAGGATGGAAGGAAAGAACAGTTTGGACCATGATTGACACACTCCAGGCAATTCTCTTAACAGAACACTTTGCTGGTGGAATTGTTTTGGAGCTACAGGTACCAGTAGAATGGAGGCTGGGGGGTTGAGACTTCTTATTGTAATGTGGAAAGAACTGAGTGGGCAGAACCCCTCATTCAGTGAGTGGAGTTGCAGCAGAGGCCAGCAGGTGGCAACTCTAAATGCTGGAATGATACCCTCTCTGCCTAAGATTTGTGCTACCCCCTGTTCTCAATTTCTTCAGCTGGGCTCTTCAGTAGAGGAGAGCACATGGCTCTCAGTGTCTGAAAAAATCTTAATCCCCACAACCTTGCTGTGTTACACAGTGAGTCTCAGTTGGTCTCTCTCATCAAGCTCCTGTGTGACATTAGTTTGCCAGCTTAGCCAGAGATTTTCTCAGAGGTCAGATGAATGAATTTGCCCTGGCATGCAGGGCTGGACTATGTACTAGTCCTCTGGACTGAAACTGTCCACCTGGCTGTTTTCCAGTCCCATCTGTGTGGTCTGGATGCTGATACACAAATGTAGGTTGGTTTCTTAGTTCTCTGTATAGTTGTCTTATTGGCTGTCAGAGGTGGCTTTTCTAGAAGCAGTTCAGGTCTGGACAGGTACAAAAAAAAAAAAAGATCTTGGACTGGGGAATAGGGCAGGGTGGAGCAGGTCCAGTTCCACACCCTAATGCCTACTGCAGGTTTATACTTTTAGAGGTTTGATTAGGGGTAGTTATCTCTAGTTATTCTCTATCCTTATACTGGTACCCTCTTTTTAGGTATACTCAATTTTCCACTTTTTGTTGCAGCCATGAGCCTGAGGTTGTCTTTCAGATTCGTGGCGATACAGGGAAGTGGTGCTTGTCACCAGTCTGCCATCTTGCCCTCCTCTAATTACATGTCTTCTGATAACGTATACTTGTATTGTTAGCTCAATTAATTGCCAGCAGTCCTTTCATTGATATTTATTTTATGCAGGACTTGGACAGTGAAGATGTTAAAAGACGAGTACATTTATTTGAAACTCAGAGAAGGACAAAAGAAGAAGACCCAATAATTCCCTTTAGTGATGGACCCATCATCTCAAAATGGGGTGCAATTTCCCGATCTTCCCGTACAGGTTACCATACTACGGATCCTGTCCAGGCAACTGCTTCCCAAGGAAGTGCAACTAAGCCTATTAGCGTATCAGGTAACCCATTTAACTAATACTTAGCCTGATATATTCTAGGCACTGTGTTTGGTTTTTTTCCAACTTTTGTTAGCATCCATTAATTATACAAGGGGAATTCATTGTGACATTTCTGAATAGCTCTTTACATTGTCCATTGGTTAGGTTTGCCCTACCACCTCTCCTCCTTATCCTCCTCCCTGCCCTACCTAAAACAATTACAAAGGGTTTCAGTGTCCTATTTTATATGTATATATATATATACACAAAGTACATCCACCATATTCATCCTCCTTCATTTCCTCCATTCCCCCTCCCCCTCCCAAAAGTACCCCCCCCACACACTATTTTATAGTCCTGTTTTTCATTTTTAATTCCAAAGTCAATGTTCAGAGGAGTTTCTTGATGTGTCCCAGCAACGAATATACTTTACTTTGGTCATTTCAATCCCCTGTTACTCTACCTTACCCCTTCTCTTCCATCCCCCTATTATTCAGTAGCTTTCATACATGCCTTTACGTCCTCTACCTGCACAGATGTATTGTATTTTGATATTGTTGACTCTTATCATTCCCTTTTCCTTTTCTTCTCTCAAGTTCTGCAGAGTAGTTCCACTATTACAAACATGTTCTACATATAAATGTGTATGATCTTGTTCGGTTTTGTGTATACATTTATCTTTTGGATCTATCTTCCACATATAAGGGTAAACATTTGGCCTTTATCTTTCTAAGATTGGCTTACTTCACATTCCATCCATTTACCTTTAAGCAACATAGTTTCATTTTTCTTTATGGATGAGTAGTGCTCCATTCTGTATGTGTACCACATTTTTTTAATCTGTTCATCAACTGTAGGGCTTCTAGGGTGTTTCCAAAACTTGGTTATTGTGAACAGTGCTGCAATAAACATGGGTGGCACTGTACTTTTTTATTTCCAAACTGTGAGGTAGAGAATAAATTTCCCTTCATTTATCAATCATGGTAAACTCAGAATTAAATGGTTTTACCATGACCACATGGCTAGTTGGATATTTGTTTTGACAAGTACACATTTATATCCATATACCGATTTCTCACTTTTCTAATAACTCTTGCTTTCTACATTTCTATAGATTATGTCCCTTATGTCAATGCTGTTGATTCAAGGTGGAGTTCATATGGCAATGAGGCCACATCAGCACACTATATTGAACGGTAACATTACTCTTAATTCTTTGGAATTCTCCATTCCCAGATTTGTGTGCATTCTTAGAATACAAACCTACCTCCATTGTCCATGAAATATGCCTTGCTAATTTGAGCTATTAACAAATGTGTGAACATTTACATTTGGATTGATGACCGAAACTTTTAGGGTTGATGTTTTACATAAAACATAGAGTTATTACTGCTCTTGTTTCCTCATTTATTTCACTTCTACTACAATAAACATATTTCTTTTTAAAGAGACAGATTCATTGTTACTGATTTATCTGGTCATAGAAAGCATTCCAGTACTGGAGACCTTTTGAGCATTGAACTTCAGCAGGTAAGCTCTGTGTAACTCAGCTTTGATTTAAAAAAAAAAATAGAATGATGATAGAAAGCTACAGTTGGAAGCTGAGAGTTTTCTTCTCTTCTCATGTAGGCCAAGAGTAACTCATTACTTCTTCAGAGGGAGGCTAATGCTTTGGCTATGCAACAGAAGTGGAATTCCCTGGATGAAGGCCGTCATCTTACCTTGAATCTTCTAAGCAAGGAAATGGAACTGAGAAATGGAGAGGTAAAGAATGTATTTGCTTTCTGCTGCTACACATTAATACTATTACTTAGTATTAATAAGTAATGCCTTTTTCTGATGAATGATTGATTGCTTTTAAAAACTTACAATAGAAATAAAGTTGTAGTCCTGGATTTTTTAATTAATTCTTTAGTTGAATCTTTGGGATTGCTATTTTAATTTAAAAGGGAGATTCCAGATTCTGCAGGTATAAAATTAATATTTTTCTTATTTACAGAGTGATTATACAGAAGATGCAGCAGATACTAAGCCTGATAGGGATATTGAATTAGAACTTTCAGCACTTGATACTGATGAACCTGATGGACAAAGTGAACAAATTGAAGTAAGTGCTGCAGTTAGATAATTAGAAATCTTTGTTCCATTGGAAATTAAAAGTTATAAAATACTTTCATACTAAAGGACTAACACTTTATTTCCTTAGGAGATCCTGGACATACAACTTGGCATCAGTTCTCAAAACGATCAGTTGCTTAATGGAACAGCAGTGGAAAATGGGCATCCAGTCCAGCAGCACCAGAAGGAGTCACTGAAGCAGAAGAGACAGAGTTTAGGTGAAGACCATGTGATTCTGTGAGTGTTAGACAGACAATTCATAACCAGTGGGCATAGGGCTTTAATGCTTAAAGAGAAGTAGATGCTCTGTTAGATTCATTTTTGGCTTTATGCTGTGAGAAGAAAACTTTCTACAAAAGGACAATGATTTTGGTCAGTATGGATTTTTAGGAAAGAAGAGGTAAACTTGAATTAACAAAATAGTCCCTTTTAATAACCTGAAAAATGCTTTTTTTGGGGGGGGGAATAAAAGTGTGTGCTCCGGCATCAGTTTATGCTAACTAAATTTAGCCAAACTTCTAGACCACAGAGGGAGAATTAAAACCTAGATTAAATATTTCTTATTTTCAATATTATGTTAAGATTTTCTTGGCTGTAGTATTGCCATTTTGTATAATTACTCTCAAAAAATACTGGCTTAATCTTGATAATTTGTATGGCCTTTAACTAATATTTAAATTTTTATTGTAATTGTTTTAAATGGAATCTTTTTAGTGACTTCTGATACTTTTTCTTGATAAAGAAGGCATGCTTTTGCTGGAGCTCTTAAAGTTTGATAAGGCTTACATTACACATGTATGGTTACTCTTAAAAGTTTTTACTTAAAGCTAATTTGTTTTCAATGTCATTTATTTTCTCTCAGGGAGGAACAAAAAACAATTCTGCCGGTAACTTCTTGCTTTAGTCAGCCACTCCCAGTGTCTATTAGCAATGCAAGTTGCCTCCCCATCACCACATCTGTCAGTGTTGGCAATCTCATGCTGAAAACTCATGTTATGTCCGAAGATAAAAGTGACTTTTTAAAACCTGTTGCAAATGGGAAGATGGTTAACAGCTGAAAGGAGGTTCATCTTTCAAATTTGTGACCACACCATGGAAGCATTTACACTAGCTTTTTATATATATAATATATATTATATAATGTATATTTTTTTTAAAAAAAGATATTACTGGGGGCATCCATTTCCTGTGGACTCTTTGATACTTCAAGCCCTCTTGCATTAGCATTATGAAAAAAAATTACTTTACTAGGGTAACACGTTCACTTTCCACAAGTGATTGGAATTTGGACAACATTTAACTTAAGCTTCAAGCAGCTTTTTATGAGTTTGTAGCAATCCGGTGCAGTAACTGAGCCATTTCCTATTTTAAATGGCTTCTCTAGAAAATTAACAACTCAGTTATTAAACTAGCAGGATCCTACAATGATACATCTAGTGAAAGTAGACTTAATTAACTTATTTATTTCTATTTTATGTTTCACTGAGAGAAATTTCCATCTCATTCCAGCTGCTTTATTTATCTTTTTCATGGACTTTGCATGGATTTCTTTCCCCTTTTTTTATTTTTATTTTTTTAATTTTTTTTTTAATTTTGAGGAGTGGATTTAGACATTCTTACCATAAAATTTTACAGGGTTATATCTTAGCTTTCTTTACTGCATTATATGTAGGAGTGTGGTGCAGTGCTTTTATCTGTAGCATTTTTTTTTAATTTTACATTTTTCAAGAATAGTTTCTGCTTTGTTAATATTTATACACAGGCTACTTGTTGAAGTAATTAATTAAAAATATAACCAAGTGCCTAAGTCTTTCAGCTGATGTACTAGATATTAAATTCTCCTAAGTTATGCAGAATCGTTTTTACAATTTTGATAAATTATGCACTAATGTAATGGCAGTTTTTTAAAATGCAGATTTAAGCCTGTACATTATTGAATCTGATGACTTGGCAAAAGAATCAGGTGCTTTCAGCTTTCTTGAGAAAACCCTGTATGTAGCGTTTGCACTGACTAACAAGATGGTATTTCTGGGTTCTTAATTTAAACTAATTAATTTGGATGTTCATTGCATTATCTTAGTTAAGTATTGTTTATTGTTACTTTATGTTAGGGTTAATTTTCCTTGTTTTCTGATTGTTAGATTGATAAGAATATGAACCATGTAATAGCAGAACATTGGCTAACATTTACTCATACTTAAAAACATGAATAATATCTGCCCTGCCATAATGTGACTGAAATTGTTTTCATTGGCATCTGAAAGTATGCAGTATGTTCAACTAGCCATGCCTCAGATTTGTGGGAGGTATTTTATTGAAACCCAATTTTCAGTCAACATTTGAAAACAAAAGCGGGGCATTCCTTCCTGGTGATCTTTCCTGTTGTTTGTCTTTTTCCTTTTTCCTCCATTTCTTTAAGATTAGTTTGACTTTTGTTATTATTTTTTAATTAACTTCTGTGAAGTTGTTTACTGAAAATTGTACTGGAATATTTTAAGCCAAGCTGATCTTTCACCAGGTGTACTGTATGTAAGGGCTTTTCCTGCTAGCAAGATGCTTAAACAGGATCATGTTATTGGTCGTCTGAGCTATTTAGTTATTTTACAAAACCACAGCATTGTATCAGATAAGATTTTGATAAAAGTTTTGTGCACATTTCCAGGGGTGGGAGGGTTGACATTTCCCTGAAATCTCTTGATCAGAATGAGTAAATACTGGTGTTTGATACCTGTCTTAATGAACATGCTCATAAGGTGACTGATAAGTTGTAAATATACCTGAGAAACAAAGGGTAGTTTTGATATTCTGGTGTCAGTATGGAAGATCTTACACATTTATTTAATACTCACATGTATGAAGATGTTTGTTTGTAGCATAACAACACAGTAGCCTTGACTTAGTTTTCTTTGGTTAGTACTGTACCTTTTTTTGCCATGGCCAGTGCTCCCCATCCCTACAAAGACGTTTTATTTATTTCACTCTGTAACCTGAAATGAATAGGAACAAGAGTTTTAAACCATGTTACATTAACTTATTTCTGACATTATAAATTAGCCTAGGATATTACAGGAACATGATTATTATATAATTTATATCAAATCCTTTCTATAAATATGCGCTTACATTTGAAATGCTTCCAGTGTACTTTATTTGCAGTTCCAAAAAGGATATGCAAACCAGTTTGTCTATTTCATGGATATTTAATAGTGAGATCTTCCATGTTGAAGGTAATGTATTTTTTTTTAAGATTTTAAAATTGCTATTTTGTTACAAAATAGAGACCTATTACAGTTTGAGAGCTCCTTATGTGCCCTCAGGGAAAGAACCCTCTGTGCAACAGAACTACACAAAACATCTTCAGCACGGTCTGAGGGTGAATATATACTACATAAATTGATCTTGTGTATTTAACCTTATCTTTTAATTTTAAAATTGAAATTTTGAAACTTGGTTGTGCTCTGCTGGAGGGGGTTGGGATAAACTGCTTAGGTGTTTGCCTACTTGTCCAGTAAATTGCATTTGCATCAATGTATGTAAATACCTGCCAACCTTATTGGTATGTCTCAAAAAATTTATATTAAAATAATGCTTGTCTTGCAGCAGGTGATCCCATAAGACAATAACTATTGTTAAATTCTTACTCTCTTTCTCACTAACAACATAGGAATTGTTTCTGTATTGAGATTTTTCTGTATTGCATCTTTGTCTATGTAGTGACCACCTTTTGTCTGTCATGATGGGTTTAATGTGAAGTAAAGCCATTGGCTCTCAGCCACTTTAGAAGAAAGAGCAGTTTAATCTGATCTTTCTTCAAAATGGTACCTACTGATGTCACAAAAGAAAATAGTACAAATCAGACTTAGAATGTGCTTTTTAGAATTGAGGGCAATTTTCATTTTGACCCTTTACCAACACATTGTGATGTACACACGCTTGGAATCAAAGGCTAGAGAGCAATAGAAGAAGAAATTTGGAATTTGTTAATTAATATGCATGTTACCTATGGTCTCATCAGGAAAAAGTAGTCTGAGATCTGGAAAGCAGGAAAGTGGTAGGTTTTTTTTTTTGTTGGTTTTTTTCCTCAGTTTTTTTTTTGTTTTTTTCAATTTCTAAGTCCCGTTCCTAAATCCATGTGCCTCATTCAGATGCTATAAATGTAGCATCAATAAATTGTCTTTTGTGAACTCATTTAATTCTATGAATTCTGAGAAAGTTACACACATGTATTTCTTCTAATTGGTACCTGAACAAAATCAGATTCTCTTGCCTTTGCTGCTATGACTTACTTTCAATGCCATGCAATGCAACCGTGTTATGCATGAAAAGTTGTACACTAATTTTCAAGAGAAGGTAGCTCATTAGGCCAGTGACACTGATTCTGCTACCTATTCCCCTAGCTCTTTAGTAAGAGAATAATAAATTAATTCTCCCATACTAGAACTGAAATTGTCCATTTGTAGGATCTAGTCACTTTCACTCAGATTTCAAGTTGATATTAAGTATATAAAGCACATTCTGATTTTATATACTGCCTTGAGAAAACTACAGAATGCAAAGTGGTTTGTAGGAATTTTAAATGGGATCATTTAAACATTTGAAAAATTTGTTTTAAAAACTACCTTACTTTTGCATTTTAGATGTTAAAGCTCATGTTGTCTTGTTCACCATAGGTATTTTAAATGGGATCATTTAAACATTTGAAAAATCGTTTTTAAAGTCATCTACCTTGCTTTTGCATTTTATATGTTGTGTTGTTTACCAGGGGTGGAATTTTTAACAATTGAATTCAGTATGTGATTTCAACTTTGAGTATTTCTTCCCTAGCTTCTTTGAGTCATTTTCTAAGCAGACTGTCACTAGTATTGGTAACTAATCATTAAAGGGAAGAGTTGCCTTGCAACTATGAATTAGTTTCCTGGAAGAAATTTTCTTGTGTTTTAGTGAATGAAGAGTGTTGATGGGATTACTTACTGTAACTCCTTCTACATAAGGACCCCTTTTGCAAGCAGAACACAAATGAACATGCTCAAGGAGTATCCCATTTTCTGGATAAATTGAGTAAGTTTGCTAGTAACTCCTTTATACTAGCAGTTTCTTTGTATCCCTTTGCTGGCAAAGGGATGCAAAGAGTCAAAATCACAGATCAAACACCCCACATTTGAGGGGAGACCTTATTTTTACTCTTAAGAGCAGGTGTTCCCTTAAGTCCAAAACTGGCAATTTTTTTTCTTTGTTTTTTTAAGATAAGAATTTAAAAATATCCCCAAACCAGTGGAAAACACACTGGCTGCACTTAGTACTGCCAAAAGCCAAGGTCATTTGCACATATTCCATCAATCTGTCAAGAATTAGGCCTCACTTTAATAACCCAAGGCATGGAAGTGCATGCATTCTCTTAGCTGGGCAAACAATTATACTGTAGTTGTGATACAACACATGTGGCTTTTATTTGTACTGCACATATCCACTGTACAGCCACTTGGGAGTATCGTGGTTAGCTTGCAGCAACCGCTGTCTGCATTTATACTGTTTATTGCATATTCTTTTCCCTGGAAGTGAAAGAAAAATGTTTTTCTTGTTGCATTGATTACACTTTATAAATTTGCTTAGCTGGAAGGTTTGGGAAAAGAGGCCTGTTTGTCAATTGTACAACCGATTGTGAAGCTCTAGTGTGAATATTTTTACGTCTGTATTAGACATTTTCTTTGCAAATCTATTGTTCGATTGAAATGTAAATGAAATTAAAGATGGTGTACACCCATCATGTAAAAAGCAGGCACCATCTCTAAGATGGATTTAATGCTCATTTTTAAGGCATATACTCAGCTTCTATTTAAAACTATAATTTAAAATAATTCTGTACAATGAAATGGGGAATATATATGGGAATAAATTCTATTCCATTTATTTCAATTTGAATTTCCAAATTGTAATGTTTCCCTTTGTGCTATAGGAATAGGATTAAATGGGGGAAGGCTAGGACTTATAAGGGCCTGTATATGGGGGGCGGGCAGAGATGGAACAATGAGGGTTGTGATGATAGTGAATAGCAAAGAGTGAATTCTGTGTGTTTTTGCTGTAGCACTGAAGTGAAGAGATGTTAGCTTTGGCTGTTCACAAAATAGAGCATCATGATTTTCAGTGTTTGAGAGAAAATTGATGGAAAAAGTTTGCAGTCCTTGACATGTATTTGCATGCACAAAATAAAATTATTTGTCCACCTTAAAAGTTGTTTGTTTAGTATTAATATTAAATTTATGGTATATTGTAGTTGTCTTGATTTTCCTGATACATTTTTCTGGTTTAACAAAGCCACAGGACACTCCTTAAGTAGGGATTTAAATGATCATCTGCCTCATCTGTATTTCATTAGGAAGGATCTGAAGTAAGTGAATAAACCCAAGTAGATTAAAACATTCCTTCATTCTGTTCATCACTTCATTTAATATACAGCTCTTTCTAAGTGGGAGATGACAATGTAGATTGTACTGAGTTTACAGTTGGAGAAAATAAGTCAGATACATTAACTAGTACAAAGCAGTATATTATAGAAGTTGAGGACTGTTGTGCAGGCCTCAGAATATAAACAGAATGCCTGAGTGAATATAGTCACCATTTTCACTGGGTCTAGTATAGTGTTAATTCAGTATTCTTGGTTGGTATGTTTTAAACCCCTGCCTGTGCTAGTTATAAAGGTTAAAGGCTAAGGAAACATGAGCCTTTTCTTTAGAGGCTCATAGTGTGGAAAATGGGAAAGACAAATTTGAGTAGCACTGGGAGCTCAGACAGCTATATGAAAATTTAAAATGGAAATTACAGGACTGTTGGTAATTGTGGTGAGCCAGAGGAGGCACTTCTCCATGAGATGATCTCTGGCTAGACTTTGTAGGGTAACTAACATTTTATCAAGCATAGATAAAAGGGGAAGACCCTGAGCACTTACTCTACCTTCACAACAAGCTGCTGAAACTTAACAACCATCCTTCACTATAGATAATGTAACTGCTGCTTTTAATATTTGAGATATCACATAACTTGCCAAGATCTCATAACCAGAACGTTTGGAGTCAAGATTGTGATTTAGGTCTCTCCTCTTTCTGCCTCAAAGAGATAGTGGTGATGGTAATTAGATCCTGTTCTCACCTGTTACTGTTGAAGGGGTGTTTAGGGAATGGTGAGGTGCACCAAGTACTAATATAAATAGCTAATCCTTAGAGAACTTAATATGTTTCAGACACAGTTCTATGTGCTGTAGGTATATTTTAATGTAGGGCCATTGCTATCACCATTTACAGACAAGATAACTGAAGCACAGAACTTAAGAGGAGTTGTTCATGGTGACACAGAAGAGGTAGATGGAACCTTTGAAAGACATTGAATATCATACTAACCAGACTATGAGGGAGTCTCAGAAGTTAAATAATTGAAACAGTTTGGAGTTTTAGAAAGATCACTCTGGCAGTGTGGAAGGTGAAGCTGGAAGTGGATCAGCAGGGAAGCCAGGTCAGCAATGTAGTAAGAAGCATTGGCAGCATGGCCAAGCAGGGATGGAGGGAAAAGAGATGGGTTTGTAGAGTAGGTGGGAATAGTTGACAGGATATGTTGTATAGAAAGTGCATTGGACACATACACATTACAGGTGAATTAAAAGTAGTTTAAAAACCATGGGCTCCATTGCTGAGAACAGATAGTTATTCACATGTAATCTTGTATAAACCCTACAGTGATTTACTGAGATCAGGAAGAGGAAGAAGAATCGTGAATAGGTGATCTGGGCAAAGGAGAAGAAACATAATGAAGAAAATAAAGTTCCAGAATTTGTTTACTTTGTAGTTAATACCTATTGAAATAATATTGTGTGTTTAACAGATTATCTCAAATTCTCATTTGAAGGCATCATGACTGTACCTCTCACTTTCCAGGTGTTTTCTCAAAATCAGATGGAGAATAATGGGAGGTGCAATTTAAAAGACACTTAAGCACATGGGGACTGGAGGTCAGCCAAAGTATTTTTTGAAACTTTAGATTTTTAAATAATTATAGATTCACAAATTACAAAAAGTACAGAGAAGACTGTACCTGTCACAGTTTCTCCAATGATAACATCTTACATAATATCAAAACCAGGAAACTGATATCTATACAGTCCACAAACTTTATTCAGCTCTGACCAGCTTTATTTGCATTTATGTGTACATACACACATGCACTGGTGTATGTGTGGTTTTATGCAATTTTCTCACGTAGGTTTGTAGAACCACCACTAAGACAACAGTTCCTTCTGCCCAGTGATCTCTCCTATCCCTTTACATTCACATGTATTTTCTTTCCTTAACCCCATGCTCAAATCCTTAAACCCTGGCAATCACTAATCAGTCCTCCATCTCTAATTTTGTCATGTTGAGATTGTGATACAACTGAAATTATACCTTATGTAGCCTTTTGAAACTGGCTTTTTTACACTCAGCACAGTTCCCTTGAGATCCATCCAAATCATTGTATGTATTAATAGTTTGTTCCCTTTATATTACTGAGTAGTACCATGATCTGGTATGGATGTACCATGGTTTATTTAACCATTCACCCATTAAATGGCATTTGAGTTGTTTCACATTTTTGGCTATTACAAATAAAGCTATGAACATTTGTATACTTTTGTGTGGATTTAGTTTTTATTTCTGAAGTATTGAGAAAATATGTTGGTATTCTTTGTCTACCTTTGCAGGAAATTAATAATTTGAATAAGGTCTAAGATAAGTTCCTTAAGTAATAAACTTACTAAAATGGGTACAAGAAATGGAATAACCTTGTATTAATTTTCTATTGTCACATCAAATTACACCCAATCATAGTAGCATAACACACCAGCACTTAATATCTCATAGTTTCTGTAAGTCAGGAATCTGGATGTAACTTAAGTGGGTCCTTTACTTTGGGTCTTTCACAGGCTGTAGTCCTGGTGTTGGCTGGCTCTGCAGCCATCTCTGCTCAACTGGAGAAGGATCTGCTTCCAAGTTTGGCAGTATTCCCTTCCTTATGCACTGTTGGAATGAGGGCCTCAGTTTTTCACTGCCCATTGGATAAAGACTGCTGTCAGTTCTTTGCCACATGAGACTCTGGGGGTAGGAAGACAGAGACTGGAGGGGGAGGGGAGAGAAAGAATACCATCAAGTGACACAAGTGGCTCAAGCATGTAATCTCAGCTACTTGGAGTGAAGCCAGCCCTGGGCCATCTCAAAAGTACCCAGCACACACACACACAAAGGACCGGGTGAGTTCAACCCCAGTACCACCCAAAAAAAAGTCACAGTCTAACGGCCTCATTTTGGAAGCCAACAGTTCATCACTTTAGAAGGAAATCACTAGGTCAAGTCCACACTCAAGGGGACAAGGACATGAAGCCAAGGAGGCAAGGGTCTTTGGGATCTGTATCATTGTAGCCAATCAGGAGGTAGAAACCATCCAGTGGGTTATATGTGAGAAAGTTTAATATAAGGAGTCATTAAACTAATGAAGGAGTTACTATAAGATAAAAGGAAACTGCATATAGCCCACTGTGGTATAGAGAGGGTACCCATGGACAAACTTGGAAAGAGGTCCTCTCCCAAGGCTGGGGTTCAAGTCTTTCTGGAGAAGGTGTTGTTCACCCCATTGGACAGGATAGATTTGCTGGCAAGCAGAAAGCTACTTTCCAGGTTGAAGGTGAGGTGCACCAACCTGCAGAGGGAATTGGCACCAGTGCAAACAAGATGTTTTTGGAAGCTGGGGAAGGCGGTGAGGGGGAAGTGGCTGCAGGAAGCCTTCAAGTCACCAGTTTCCATTTTGCGAGAGCTATGGAAGAATTACTGGTAGGCCAAAGCAAGGTTGCAGTGTTAACTGCATCTGCTAGATGCGTTGCTTGGGAAGTGCTCTACTGGATGTCCTCACATTCATATCACTGAGCTACTATGCAGCTGCTGGAAACCAGGAATCCCCCTCTAGTGCTCTCTACTGAGGAACTTACTGTGCTCACTGCAGAGGAGATGCCTCAATGGACTCTGTCCACTATTGCAAAGCCTAGATTGAAGAAAGAATTGGGAACGAGGGGCAATAAGTTCAGAAGCTTGCTGCTATAGCTCTGTACCTATTAAGGAAATGAATTTATTATGGAAAACCTCCCCACAAAGAAAATGCCAGGCCTAGCTGGTTTCAGAAGTAAATTCTATTGAACATTTAGGGAGAAATAATTCCAATTTTGCGGAAGATCTTCAAAAGTGGAGGAGGAGGGAACTTCCAAGTAGTTTTATTAGGCCAATGTAACCCTGATACCAAAGCCAGACAAAAACATCAAAAGAATTCAGGTTAACATCCCTTATGAACACTGATGCAAAACTCATAATGATATATCTGTATATTTGTATTCATACAAAGTATAGCACTTCAATTCCAAAATAGGGTTTATTTCAGAAATTCAAAGTTGGGTTAGAATTTGAAAGTGTGTAATTGATCATTTTAATTTATATTCTGTTCTTACAAGGTCTCTTACAATTTAATGGAGCTACAATCTGGTTGGCTTGTAGAGATTAAAAATATACTTTTGCATAAATATACTTTTAAATATTTCTTAAAAGAAGAAATTTTAATTCTTAAGTGTGTGGGCTATTTAAACAAAAAATACAAAGCTATGAAAACAAATAACTTTCCTAACTTTCTCAGATGCTTTAGTTAGAACTGCTAAAAATTTTAGTTGTTTTAAGAAAATCCAACATCTAAGGAAATTTTCACTCAAAAATTAAAGCTCATAATAAAGATACCACTTTAAGGTTGTCAATTCTAATTTCTAAGTAAGAAAGACATTCAATTACAGCAAACTGAACTCCCTCCCTCCCAAAAGAAAGGAAGTGAGAAAGAGAAAGGGGAAAAAAGGGGTGGAGGGGGAAGACAAGACGGACACATTGGTTATCTCAAACAGTCCTCATAATGCCTGGTATCATTCAAAACCATCTCTAGACCTTTAATACAGTCATGCGTCTGTATATGGAATATGTTGTGGGAAACACAATGTTAGGGGATTTTATCATGCAATTATAGAGTATACTTACACAAACTAGAAGGCTATGATGTCACTAGGCAATGTAATTTTTAGGGACTACCATAGTATATAGAGTAAATTATTGATCAAAATGTCATTATTTGGCACATGACTAAGATAATAAAAATAGCCTAAGAGACAAGGATGAATTTGCTCT